CCAGATGCCAAAAAGTCCAAGAAGCACTCCAAGATCTAGTGTGTTTTGACAGGAAAGGATGGAACCCGATTCTTACAACCATAAGCTTGAATGATGATCTGTCTGAACCACCAAGAAATAGTGAAACAAGAAGTGGGAAACCTGCTTCTTTTTGCCAACATTTCACGGTGGGGCCATCAGTGATAACAGAGAGTCAGTATTTCTAATGGCAGCAGTAAACACACACGGTGTGAACCATATCCAGGCAATGGAAGGGGATGTCCTTCTGAGGAACTGAAGCTGGACAAGAGGACAGAATAACAATGTTCAGGCTGAAGTGCTGAAACCACATAAGGAAGGAAGGAGGTTCTATGCCTTAATACTAGCTTGTCCATTGTCCCAAGAAAGGTTCTCTCCATGACAAAGCCACCGGCTCAGACACAAAATGTGGCAACAAGAAATACAGCCTTGTGAATGAGAGTGTAAAAGCTAAAACCCTGATAGGATCAAAAGGCAGTTTTTGAAGTGCTGAGAGACAACCTGAACAAGTTTGAATTGAAGAATAGGAAGCTAGTGATCTCAATACCACCATGAGAAGAGGCAAGATCTGCCTCTTGATGGTATTCAGGGTCAAACATTCATCCAGGTCCAACTGCAGAAATGCCAGGATTTATCCAACAGAGTATTTTTTTTGGGGGGGAAATAACTTTTCTTTCCTTACATTAAGCAAGGTATGCCTTCCAGATGAGATGTTAGCCTCCTTTTGGTTGTTTACTTTCAAGCTTTTACCAGAATGGAAATCACTGATTCAGGAATGCCCTTTTCCCTCAAAACCTATTTTTTCAACAGCAATGCTGTGCCCGTGAAGCAGGATGGTAAGCCAGTCCCTGGGACAGAGCAGCCAGACGATCTGGAAGAGCCCATGGCGCATCTGCCTGGATTCTTGAGTAGAGTACTACATCTAGCTAGGATAGTCTGGAGAGGTGGGGATCAATGGAATGCCCCCTATTTCAATCCTGAAAATGAGGAGTGTAGCAGGGTGAGAACTAGGGCCAGTGAACACTTGAGGTGTGAAAGGTAAACCCACAAAGTAAATGTTCTGGGGACCTAAAACAAAGCAAAGGAATCACTGATGCCATGGACAAATGGTGACATGCTTATTTGTATTCTTCGTGTCCACAGAGAACAGAAAGTTTCCTTGATGGAGAGAGGTTGTGACAGACCTAGTGGATTCCATGCAGAATTTCTGGGGCCAAACATTTAGGACCTTGGGATCCAAGATGGGGCAGATGCCTCCTTGTGGTTTGGGGATTGTGAACAGGTTGGAGTATAACCATTGGATTTGCTGCACTACAAGTATTGATGCAATAACCCCTTACTCTAGAGCAGGGGTCTCCAAACTATGACCCTCTAGCTGTTGAAGTACTACAAGTCCCATCATGCCTCTGGGGGTCTTGCCTGTGGCTGTCAGAGTCTTGCAAGGCCTCATGGGACTTGCAGTTCCTCAACACCTGGCCATAGTTTGGAGACCCCTGCTCTAGAGGATCTGCAAGGGCTGCAATTGAGAAATGCTATTCTGTGCGGTTACAATGCCAGGTTGGAAAACATGAATGAAGGTGGGGGCTGAGATTGGAATTTTAGCTGTAGCCCCTGGAAACCCCCTCTCTCCCCCAAGCATTGTTGGCTGACCAAATGGTAATATCTGTGCCCTAATTTTAGAAAGCAGAGGTGCCTCTTCTTGCTAAGGAAGACTTCTCCGAGGGCCTGGAAGTTCTGGGTTCGTGGGTGTACAGGGTGCCAGGCTTGAGCTTGGCTTTGGAGGTTTAGGTTTGCGAGTTAGAAAAAAGAACACTTCTTAACCTCAGAGGAGGAAAGAGCCTTTTCCAGGCTGAGCCCTAGGATTCTTACGTTTGCAAATGGATACTCTTACCCCCAGTGACATCCATGATTAGGTGTCCAGAGCAGCTCCTCAGAGATGCTCTACCGTAAAGAATATGTGAAACAGGTGCTTTTTGCATGCTGATTCTGCAGCCCAGCACTTCTCATATCCACTGTCAGGAATCTCAAACATGAAGTTAGATGGGAAACCTCTAACAACTTCATCATTGAGTAGTTCATAGCTGCAGTCATGAGCTCCAGATCCTGTAAAATTAAAGGATCAGCTTGAATGGCAACAAGATCACGTCTGATGGCCTTAGCACAATCCGCTAAAATTTTGCATATTAAAGTCACAGCCAGGGAAAATTGCAAGGCAGGGTCTGCTAACAAGAACAAGGTTTTAGGAAAGGCCTCCAATCAATTATAATCAGGGTCCTCAAAACCAGGCACATCCTCCACCAGAATGGTTAAGGCTTAGTTAAAAAGTGGGCTGACCCTGCTGTGGATCCATCAGTTTCCCATATAACCCATCTCATACATGTACAGGACTCATGCCACTTGGGAAGGATGAACATCTTGTCAGGGTTCTTCTAGCCAATGCAAAAGACAGCAGTCTTGGGGACCATGAAAAAGCGTAGCCTGGGAACCGCACTGTTAGAATCTGCAGGCTCATTCTTTGGCTTCAAAGTGATGCAAATGGTGCCAATAAGAGTTGATACTGTTTCTTTAAGTCTGGCAGTAATAGCAGTGACTTCTAAGGTGTAGCATCATCCGTTAAGGACTTAAGAGACTCAGCGTCTAATAGAGTCTTGGCAGCTGATGAATTAGAAGCTGCTAAAAAAAGACAAGGTAAAGTGTGGAAGCATGCTTACAGCCTCTGTGGTCAGAGTCAGGAATTAAAGTTGCAATTTGGCTCATAAAATTCTGCACAACTGCAGTGAAATCTTCCCAGGATAGAGCAGAGGAAGGGCCTTTCCCAACAGAGCTCTAAGGATATCATTGACCCAAGCAGCTTTCCAGCAAATTCCAGGTTGTCTGTGTCAGACCCTTCATGTGATGGTGCCCTGCAATTGTTGGATTGTGAGCTGAAGGCACCCGAACAGTGGGACTGTTCCTTATGTGTCCAGGATCTGACATGTTGTATTGCAAGGCAGGAGCAGCATACTGTAGCTCAGGGTATAAAATCCAGGCCTTTAATACTCATGAACTGACTGCCAGTAGCAGGAAAAGGCAACAGTCATGGGATAGCAGGAATATCTGACCTCCATTCTTTGCAACGATTATAGAAATAGCACATCTGCTGAAAATGGTATTTAAGCACATTAAATGAGAAAAAAAGTTGTGATTGGCTAGGAATATTAATTCTGTCCAATCAACCTACAGTAACTGCACAGGCTCCATAAGGTCACCTGATCTAGCCATTCTTTTGACAATACCCAATAAATAAAACAGAAGGCTCTTATTATATGGGAAAATACTGTATAATCATAAAGGTGCGTGTAAAGTAGAAACATGCACTAAAGCCGCTTATGAACAAAAGCAAAAAGTAAAGATTGGGACAAAGAAAACATCAAGGAAGAGAATATTCTGCTACCAGGTGTGAGGAAGGGAAAGCTGCCTTTAGCTTAACCTCTTCACGCCTAAGGGTAAAACAAATCTAAATGCCTAAGCACAATTCTGCAACGTTGACATGTGTTAGTAAAACCGTACATATCATTATCATCAACTACTTTGTACATCCAGATGGATTATACCTTCATTTTTTCAGGACAAATTGGGCTTTCATTTGGTGGTAAATGGTAATGGAAAGCTCCTGATTTTTTTTACTATCAAAGGAAAACTGGCCCAAAATAGTAAAAAAAAATTTTTTTTTATTTTATTTAGCTGTGTGTTTCTTGTTACGACCATAACCTACCACCAAAAAAAACCCCCAAAATAAATTCTCCAGCTCTTGACGATCGCAGCGATACCATATATGTGTATGTTATTTGTTGTTTGTACCCTTAGTACAACCCAGAAACAATAGTACGCATTTTGTTTTTGTCTTTTTTTTTTTTTACCTAAAACACACTGACACTAATGACAATTTTTTTTTAAAACCTGATAGTTGACCCTGACCTTGACCCAAACACTAACCCTGGCACTGAACTAGATCAAACCTTGATCTAGGTATTTTTCTTTGTTTTTTAATATTTATCTTTTTTTTTTTACAAACATTTTTTTTCTCTCTATGCCAGAGTTAGAGAGATACAATGTATCTCACGTCTCCATTCATAGAGAGAGAGAAAAAAGCAAGGGGGCCAGGCTGTACAGTGACTGATCACTGTGATAGCCAACCAGAGGCTATCACAGCGTTCATGTGACCCGGAATCTGGAGTCCCGGGTCCGATCGTTAGAACGGGACCCGGGGCTCTCAGTGACACCGCAGTTTCTGTGCTGGGAGCGTGCCGAGCGGCGCTCCCAGCACAAAGACAGGTACGCAAATATCCAGCCCCACGGAAAAAAGCCCAGTTCTGTGAGGCCGCATATTTGTGTGACGTCGGCATCAAGGGGTTAAAGTGACACTAAACAATATCCTACTGGCTACTTTCCTCCATGGAGAATGAACATAGCCATCCTCTAACAGGAAGCAAGTTCACAGCAGCAAAAATAAGTAATTTGAAGATTTGGAAAAAGTTGAGAGCAACAGTAGGTACTTTTTTAGAGTTTTTTTTTAACCAGAGTGTCAACACAGTATATGGTCCAATGTCACCTTCCTCAGGAGACTGTCATAGTACTTTATTATTAGGATTGTTATGATACACACTTTTGTGTATTGTTTTTATTTTTTATACAAAGAAACTGAAGTATAATCCTGAGGTTATGACTGACTGCATACAGAGGGATTATTTTTGCCTTCTTTCTTTCTTTTCCATTCAACTTTTAAGAAAAATTAGAACACAGTTTATCCTGTCCAATCGCTAAATTTCCTTAAACAGTGGCAGCCGGCCACATTTTAGACATGCAATCACGTACCCATATCCAGCTGGACGGTAACATCTCATATCTACATGCAATTTAAGATATACTGGTCTTCAAATTAATAAATTACTCCATACTAAAACTCTTAACCACTTGGGCTTATTTAAACACTCTATGGCTATTCAATGTGGAAAAAAAAGGTCACCGTGTAAAATGTTGCTTACCTCAAAATTGTCCAGTAAGGTTTTGGAAGGCTGAGGACTTAACCTGAAAGCATTGTTCAGTATTCCCAGGCCAAGCTTTTGTGCCAAAGTGGACCAGTTCTTCTCTGTGTCTTCACTTTGTAACAATGTATACAGCGTCTGTTTTGTCTCCTCACTCAGGTCTTTCATGTCTCCTACACAAACATATTGGATTAACACTTTGCCCCTTGCTCGGGTAATTCTGTAACCTTACAAATAACTCAAACATGTGATTAAATCTGCTAAGATATTTAGTATTCTCACCCTGGCTGAAGCAGTAAATGTCTCTTTCACTTGGTGCCGTACACCAATTAGCCATAACATTTAGACCACTAACCGGTAAAGTGAATAACATTGATTAGTTTGTGGCAATGGCATCTGAATGCTGGAGGGCTATGTTAATCAGCAAGCAAACATTTTGTCCCTGAAGTTGATGTGCTGAAATCAGAAAAAAATGGGCAAGCATAAGGATTTGACAAGGGCCAAATTCTCCAAAAACTCCAGAACAGCTCTTGTGGGATGTTCCCGGTCTGCAGTGGTCAGGACCTATCAAAAGTAGTCCAAAGAAGGAAAACTGACAAACCAATGACAGGGCATGGGTGGCCAAAGCTCAATGATGCACGTGGGGAGCGATAGCTGGACTGTGTAGTCTGATCCAATAGAAATGCTACTGTAGCTCAAATTTATGAAAACGTTCATACTGGTTCTTACAGAAAGGTGCCAGGATACACAGTGCATTGCAGTCTGTTGCGTATGGGACTACCTAGTTATAGACCGGTCAGGGTGTCCATGCTGACCCGTGTCCACAGCCAAACGCGCCTACAATGGGCATGTGAGCATCAGAACTGGACCACGTAGCAAAGGAAGAAGGTGGCCTGGTCTAATGAATTCAAGAATGGTTTGAGGAACACAACAATGAGTTCAAGTGTTGACTTGGCCTCCAAATTCTCCAGATCTCAATCAAATCAAGCACCTGTGGGATGTGATAAAAAAATCGATCTATGGAGGCCTCACTGCACAACTCACAAAACTGCTACTGATGGCTTGGTGCCAGATACCACAACTTCAAAAGTTCTAGTGGGGTCCATGCCTCAATGAGTTATGTTGGATAGTCATAATGATATGGCTGATCAATGTATATGATACATAAGTAGACATGATTGTGCCAAGGTGTTGCTATAATCTGATACACAGATGAAAATGGATTGCTATGTTTCCTCATATTTCCTTTACGCTCATAAATCCATAAGTACTGCTGATAAGTAGCTGCTAAAAACCCCCAGAATGTCCCAGGTTCAGAGGCTCCAAAGGCACTCTGCTGTCTGGAGAGATGTATGGTGAAGCAGGTGGTACAATTAACAGCGGCCCTCCTAAGCTACACATATTTACCTATTCTTTGATCCCCTGACAGGAGAGAGGAAAAATAGCCAACATTTCTGGGTATGGGATTATTGGACTCATTCCCCTCTCGTCTATGTGACAGCACTGGTGATTGGCCACTTATCTGTGGTGTACAGCTTGCACAGAGCTTCTGGAGAGGCAGGGGAGAAATGGTGAGGGGGAACTTAAGTGAACCTTTTGCTTTACCCTGCATGACCAAAGCACAGATATACGTTAAAAGTAATTTTATCAACAGTGTTTAGTGAAATGACCAATAACAGATGACAGCAGTGTACTGTTATATACAGAGCAGGGGTGTGGACATTTTTGAAAAAACTAATTGTCCAGGGACTAAATCTGGGTCCCAATCTACTTGTCCTGCATGACAGTCTACTTGTCCAAAAAATATAACTAAAACATATTTAAATCTGAGGTGCTTTTAGGAATGTCTGGGGCTTTATGGCAACTTAAACATTTAATTTTTTTCAACATTGTGCTGTATGTCTCCTCCTCCCCTCCCTGCTTGTCTCCAGCACTGTACCCAGGGACTAGCAGGGAGGGGAGAGACCTTGCAGTGTAATGAACACTGATTGGGTGCTCCTCAGGAAAGGGCAGCATCGGGCTTATCCTTTATCCCTTTTGCTGCAAGAGCCGTTTTTGCATTTTTTGCACAAGTTTAAACAATCATTTTATGCTTGAAGATTACACAAACCCCCAAGCATTAAATATTTTCTGAAAGCAGAGACCCTACAGAATAAAATAGTGGTAGTTCCAATTTTTCATGTCGCACGATATTACCGCAAAGGTCTAGGAAATGCAAAATTTCAGTAAAAAATACACTTAAAGTGGAGTTCCACGTGAAAAAAAAAGTCAGCCGCTACAAAAACTGCAGCGGCTGACTTTTAAAATACAGCCACTTACCTGTCCCTCAGTCCAGAGGTGTCCTCACCACAGCTGGTTTCACCGGCCATCTTCTCTCCCTGGCGCCGGCATCTTCAACGTGGACACCTGGCTGTGACAGCTTGCGGCTTCACAGCTGGGTGCATACTGCGCATGCGCGAGAAGCGCTGCGCTTTGTGAATGGCCCCGTAGTCTTTTGGAACCTGTCATGTGTCCCAGAAGACTACAGGGAGGGAGGGGGGGAGGACAACTTCCGCTTCCGATCGCCAAGGCGATCGCAGCGAAAGTAGGAGCGGGTACCTGTCAAATTCGAGTACCCACTCCCCCGCGTTCCCCAAAGGTGCCAATCCTTAATGGGGAGCGGGGGGACAAGGGCTTAAATTTATATTTTATTCTTTACATATATTTTCATTTTTTTATTAATATTATTTTTTATTTAATTATTTCAATTAAAATTGATTACATTTTATTTTATACTGTGATGGCAATATACAGTATAAAGTGTTACATTTGAGGTAATGGAAACTAGATATGTTCCAAGGATGTAACAATATGTATCTATTATATATGTTATTTGTTTATGCAATTATCTTTGTAACATTTTGTTTGGTGTGAGCCGCAAGTTGCTTGCAAGTCCATTAGGTGGAGTGACATGTAGTATCTATTTATAGTAACTCATTCTCCTTATCATGATCACTGACAGAGGTGTTTGTTGTTGGTGCAGTTTTTGGCCCCAAAAAGATGGCCGCGCCTATATGTAACTTTGAGAAAATGGAGGATACTGACTATATAAGGCAGTAAGGGTGAAGTGGTGAACGTCCAATCATAACCCCCTGATGAAGCCACGTGACCTGTGGAGTAACGCGTAGAGGTGGCGCTACAACGTCACTACACACCCGTGGACAGCTAGTATACTATGTGTGAGGCGCACACAGCAATCTGCAGTTGTTTTTAAACAAAGCAGTTTCTTATCTTACTGAATGTGAGTGTAATTGGGCATGCAATAAAGCCTTTTAGCCTCAAAAGGATAAGACACTATGTCTGCATTTTTTCTCACCGAGGGTTACCTAAGGAGGAGATAAGGAGCAGGAGAAGGAGCGAAAGATAGTGGCAAGCAGAATAAGAGCATTGGGAAGCAATTAAGGGATACCCACCACTCTTCACACGGTGCAACAGAATATCTAAAGTTCCATATGTGAACAAAAAGTGGAGTAAGCCTGTCCACAGGCCGAAAAGGAGGTGAGCGCATAACCTAATCACAATAAGGAGTCATTGGGAAACGCAATCACTTATTTTGATCACGTTTTTTGGGATTTATCACTTTTGTATCAATAGAATTAATTTCATTGACTTTCACAATTGTTTTTGGATCACATCATATTTTGGGACTATCAGCAATAAGTGGTTATTAGTGACTTTATGTTTTTTGTTTTGTATTTACCTTTATAATTTATTTTATTTTTTTCAGATTTTTGTTTTAAATCATATATTTTGATTGCGTTATCATTATATTGGTAACAATTGATAATAATTAGGGGCGCAACATTTATTGAAAAATATTTTTTTGTTATGCACACATGATATGAGGATGTGTTTCATGTCAGCGAACCTTATCTGATTACATTAAGTGGCTCACAAGTAATATTTAAATTTAAAAGGCTTAAAGAGGAACTTCCCCTTTTGGAAGTTAATTTTAGGGCAGAAAAAAGCTATATATTACCCTATTTTTTGGCAATGTATAAAAGATGAGGTTGCACCGAGTAAATAGATATCCAACATGTCAAACCATAAATTTGCGTGCACTTGACAACAACTTTCAGTATCCTATATTTTCTATAGGCGACCCTTTTAAAGCCCTTATAGGTCATCAGAATAGTGTTACAGAGGAGGTCTTGTGCTAGAATTATTGCTCTCATTCTGGCATGCGTGGCGATATGTAACATGTGTATCACAATCGACATGTATATATGTGGGGGCCTCCAATTTTATTTTTGTTTGAGGGGATGTTATGTGCTTGGGTGTAACTTTAATTTTTTACAATTAAAATAAATGCTTTTGTACTTAACTTTTTTTTTCATCACATATATATTTTAAAACGCTGAGCAAACTGTTGGCGCTATATAAATCCTGTATTATTATAATAATAATAATAATACACAGGGGACAAAAAGTCCCCTATTCAAGGATTTTTGGTGACAGATCTAAAAGACCCTGCATGTCTTCCTTGAATGTAATGCAATGTACACCACACTGCATTACATTCTTTCCCGGCCTCAATGGGTGGAAAATCTGTGAACAGGGACCCAGAAGTGACTTCATAACATCACTTCTGGGTCAGGACAATAGCGGGAGGGGGGAGGTTTGCACGAGAGGGAGTGGAGGCTGGCACTGTTGTTGGCTGTGTGAAAGCAATCGAGTGGCAGCGCAGCCGCCCAAATGCTTTCACCTGACAGGTAAACCTTGCTGCTTGCCCACAGCAGGGCTAAAGGTTGAAAAAAACTACCTGCCCGGTGCCTGGAACTACATGTTCTGGGCATCAGGAGATACAAATTCAACATCCCTGTAGCGGTATTACACCTAATACCAAAAATTATTATAGTGCAGTTTACAAATTCTTTGATGTGGTGGCTACATTCGTTTTCCTTTTCCAGGCCAGTAAGTATGTTATTTTTCAACTTCCTTTAACCACTTGCCAACCACGCTATAGCCTAATGACAGCTACAACGCGTTCGTCCAGTTCTGGGAAGGCATCATATGACGTCCTCCCAGAAAAGCACCCCCCACATGCCTGATGTGGGGTGCACCCAGCGCTCTCTGTGATCACTGTGTCCTTTGGACACAGCTGATCACATGTCATGGTAAAGGGCTACTAACAATGGCCATTTACCACGCTAACCGTCAATTGTCCCCTCCCTCCTAGATTGTAAGCTCGACAGAGCAGGGCCCTCAATCCCCTCATGTTTTGCATTGTATTGGTATTGTTCTGTCACATGTTCTGTCCCCCTTTGTAATGTACAGCGCTGAGCAAACTATTGGCGCTTTATAAAAACTGTATAATAATAATAATAATTGTGAAAGGAGACATCTACACTGATAATCAATGCCGTGATTATCAGTGCAGCCCCAACAGTGCCCATCATTGCCAATCAGTGCTCAGCAGTGCTGCCAATCAGTGCCCACCGGTGCTGCCAGTCAGTGCCACCTATCAGTGTCCTTCAATGCTGCCTACTAGTGTCCTTGAGTGCTGCCTATCAGTTCCACCTATCAGTGCCCATCATTGCCACCTATCAGTTCCACATGTCAGTGCAGCCTCATCAGTGCCTCCTCATCAATGCCCACCAGTGCCGCCTCATCAGTGCAAACTATCAGTGCCCATCAGTGCAGCCTCATCAATGCACTTCAGTGAAGGAGAAAAATTACCTGTTTGCAAAATTTTATAATAGAAACTAAGAAAAACGTTTTTTCTTTCCAACATTTTCGGTATTTTTTTGTTTGTTTAGCAAAAAATAAAAACCCCAGTGGTGATTAAATACCACCAAAAGAAAGCACTATTTGTGTGAAAAAAAATGATAAAAGTTTCATATGGGTACAGTGCTGCATGGCAACGCAATTGTCAGTCAAAGTGCGACAGCGCTGAAAGCTGAAAAACGGCCTGGGCGTGAAGGGGTAAAAATGGAGCTAAAGTGAAGCTAAACTCTGCGATAACTTCCATTCAATGGTCTGGTGTGCCTCACTGGTGCTGGCATCTTCTACCTGGTTTCTTCTGGGTGCCGACTATAGTTGTTTTCATTGGCTGGTGCAGAGATTGCATGTCTCTTCTCTGCAATAAACAGCCTGCCTGCTCACAGTTCTTGAAAAGGGACTTTAGTTCCGCTTTAACAGACCAAGCTGTCCAGCAAAAAAAACCCAAAACATTATACTTCCCTAGGTGGATGCAGCAGCAACCCGATGTTCCCCACCAGCTCTACACTGAGAGCTGAGCGATCAAACAATGCCAATTGCTTAGTTCTCCCCCTCCACTCTGAGCAGACAGCCGTGACTGTCAGTCATCAACTCTCTGCTCTACCCCGCCAGCGCTCAATGGAGCGCACAGTTGGGGAGGGATCGACTGTCTCTGTCTCCTAGCGGCACGGCTGAGCTAGTTGCCAATCCAGGCTTCTGGGAGGATACAAACCATATTGCAGCCCACTGTCGGCTGAAAACGGGCCACAAGAGTGCAGAATGATCTGCATGCCTGTGATCCATAGGAGAAGTATAGCCAAAAAAGCTTTGGCTATACTTTTCCTTGAACTATTTTTAATCCTTCTGTTGCTAACCTTACTAAACAGGAAGGTATGTTATACTTACTTTCTTTTTTACATTTCCTCAGTTCATTCCCAGCTTTTAGCCTAGGCCAAAATGATGACATACATCCCAGCAATCTTCACGATCGTTTTTTTTTTTTTATCTGGAGTAGGGGAGGGGGCTTTCTCAGTTAAGCATACTTTCCTGCCTGCATACCTGAGCTAAGGGCAGATGGATTTCAGTAAGTAAATGCTGCATGAACCATCTGGCCTTACTCCAGATGGCAATGACTAGAAATGCTAGGGGGTGGTTTCTCAAAGTGATTTCTCAACAAAACTAAAGCATGGGGACATGAAAGGAGGGAGAGTTTGCGTTCAGTTTTTGTTAATCAGATACAGTTTATTTCTGCTTGAAAAAGTTTAGCTGTTTGACTTTAAACCATTGCTGCTATTCAAAGGCTGTTCTCCTCCATCCAGAGTGAAGACACCCTAAGAAAGATAATGTGCTAACACCCAGTGAAAATAAGGCCCCCTTTCACACAGGTGGACCTGATTGAAAGGTCCCTGGAGCACTATGGACAGGTGCGTGTAAACTGATTTTTGTCTGTTTACACCCGACTACCTCCTGGTCTGACAGGTATGGCAAAAAAAATGGAAAGGGACTGCATTGGGTGTAAACATACTCCGCTGTATGCTGTACTTTAAGCCTAGTACACAATATCAGAAAATCGCACGAAAAGTACCGCTTTCAAAGTGATCGTATGTTAATCTGAACGTTGGTACGCAGCTTTCGTCTGAAATTAATCAAAGGGATAACCACGACATTTTTTTCATACGATACCAGATCATACTATTTTTGTTTAATAAGTACAGTTTTTGCTCGAAAATCCAATACAGGACATCACTTCCGAATTTTTATTGAGTCATACGAGAATTTTCGTAACCTAAGTAACCTATTCGTTTCCGATATGGAGTCTAGCATGCAAACAAACAAACCAAAGAATGGACGATCTTTCTTCTGATATGATTGTTGTATGTACGGAGCTTTAGAGCTCCGTGGGGTTTGCCAGTGTCCAGCTGAAAACCTGAAAGATTTGGATATGACACCTGTCCTACTGGACTCCAATCAGCAGGGGATCTTCTTACAGATCCTTTGCTGACACGACCAAACCCCTCTCCATATGGAAGAGCCCTAAGGGGAAAAGATCTAAAAAGAGAACTAAAGCAGCTGCCACATTTAAAGACTGGTAAGCTACAATATATGACTTTTTTCTTTTTGGGTTAACCCAATGTACAGTATCTCACAGAAGCGAGTACACCCCTCACATTTTTGTAAATATTTTATTATATCTTTTCATCTGACAACACTGAAGAAATTACACGTTGCTACAATGTAAAGTAGTGAGTGTACAGCTTGTATGACAGTGTAAATTTGCTTTCCCCTCAAAATAACTCACATTAATGTCTAAACCGCTGGCAACAAAAGTGAGTACACCCCTAAGTGAAAATGTCCAAATTGGGCCCAAAGTGTTAATATTTTGTGTGGCCACCATTATGTTCCAGCACTGCCTTAACCCACTTGGGAATGGAGTTCACCAGAGCTTCAGAGGTTGCCACTGGAGTCCTCTTCTACTCCTCCATGAAGACATCACGGAGCTGGTAGATGTCAGAGACCTTGCGCTCCTCCACCTTCCGTTTGAAGATTCCGCACAGATGCTCAGTAGGGTTTAGGTCTGGAGACATGCTTGGTAAGTCCATCACCTTTACCCTCAGCTTCTTTAGCAAGGCAGTGGTCATCTTGGAGGTGTGTTTGGGGTTGTTATGTTGGAATACTGCCTTGCAGCCCAGTCTCCGAAGGGAGGGGATCATGCTCTGCTTCAGTATGTCACAGTACACGTTGGCATTCATGGTTCCCTCAATGAACTGTAGCGCCCCAGTGCCGGCAGCACTCATGCAGCCCCAGACCATGACACTCCCACCATCATGCTTAACTGCAGGCAAGACACACTTGTCTTTGTACTCCTCACCTGGTTGCCGCCACCCATGCTTGACACCATCTGAACCAAATAAGTTTATCTTGGTCTCATCAGACTACAGGACATGTTTCCAGTAATCCAAAAACTGTTTGCAGGCTTTCTTGGTCATCATCTTTAGAAGAGGCTTCCTTCTGGGACAACAGCCATGCAGACCAATTTGATGCAGTGTGCTGCGTATGATCTGAGCACTGACAGGCTGACTCCCCACCCCTACAACCTCTGCAGCAATGCTGGCAGCACTCATACGTTTATTTCCCAAAGACAACCTCTGGATATGACACTGAGCACATGCACTCAACTTCTTTGGTTAACAATGGCAAGGCCTGTTCTGAGTGGAAAATGTCCTGTTAAACCGCTGTATGGTCTTGGCCACCGTGCTGCAGTTCAGTTTCAGGGTCGTGGTAATCTCCTTATAGCCTAGGCTATCTTTATGTACATCTTTATGTAGAGCAACAATTATTTTTTTTCAAATCCTCAGAGTTCTTTCCCATGAGGTGCCATGTTGAACTTCCAGTGACCAGTATGAAAGAATGAGAGCAATAACACCAAATTTAACACACCTGCTCCCCATTTACACCTGAGACCTTGTAATACTAACGAGTCACATGACACCAGGTAGGGAAAACGGCTAGTTGGCCCAATTGTGACATTTTCACTTAGGGGTGTACTCACTTTTGTTGCCAGCAGTTTAGACTTTAATGGATGTGTGTTGAGTTATTTTGAGGGGACAGCAAATTTACACTGTTATACAAGCTGTACACTCACTACTTTACATTGTAGCAAAGTGTCATTTCTTCAGTGTTTGTCACATGAAAAGATATAATAAAACATTTACAAAAATGTGAGGGGTGTACTCACTTCTGTGAGATACTGTATGTATATTGGTAACAACAGGGGGTTTTACACACATTCCCAGTGGCTGCTTGAAATTTTAAAGCCTGACATGTTGGGCATCTATTTACTTGGCACAACCTCATCTTTTATATTTTGCCATAAAAGTGGTTAATATGTTGCATTTATCTGCCCTAAAATTAACTTTAGTGTATCCTTTACCAAAAGTTTGTGTTTCATAAACCGTTGTGTTAATAGTGTGACATAAAAAACAGAACTACCAGTATTTTATTCTCTAGGGTGTCTACATTCAGAAAATATATAATGTTTGTGAGAATTTACTTAATCTTCAGATTTAAATTAATTTTTTAAACGTGCAAAAAAAAAAAAAATACGCAAACACAGCTAAATGAAAACCTTTCTGTACATGTCTGTGAATGCCATTACATCTTGTTCCCTCTAAGTTACATTTGTGATTTTAGTTTGCTGGACTTTTCACTTTTAGTTGATCATCAACTTTATATTGCATAAAAAGCAATATAAAGTTGAATGCAAAGGCACTAACACTGGAAATTATTAACGCTTCATAAAAGACAGATAATATACCTTGTGGGCAATCCAATGAAAATGCTGTTGTGTATGGCTTTCCATTCAGTATTTCCAGCACCTGTGACATAAAATAATGAAATTGAACAAAAACTGCAGGGACAGCATAACACTAAAGCATAATAAACTGTCATTTTCCATGTAAAGCAGTATAAATAAAGGCAGTTAATACCTGAGTGCACTTACATACTGGGGCTGATTTACTAAAACAGCAGAGTGCATCTGGTGCATCTGTGTGTGGTAGCCAATCAGCTTCTAGCTGCAGCTTGTTCAGCTGACTGTTGCCAAAAAAACTGGAAGCTGATTGGCTTCTATGCACAGCTGCATCATAGTTTGCACTCTCCAGTTTTAATAAACCAAACCCGTTGTCACCTGCTAATGTATCTGTGCAAGAGATAGTAACATTGAGCCTCCCTCTGGGAATACATAAGCCTCCTGTAAGCTAATGAGAGGAGAGATTTGCATAGTAAAAACTAATTTTTTTTTCCCCAACAGTTGGCCATGAGTATCATATGAAAAGTGTAGGTGCTGGTTCTTGCCAATTCCTTGCAGTGCACTTTGAAAATATTCAAACATACCGGTTTGCATGTGTTAACCTACATTTTCCCAATTCAATGCACAAGTTTTAAAACTCCATGTAAAAACAGGTGGCATACAGACATCAAATAAACTTCACTGATCGTTTATAGTAGCTTTATAGTGGACTTTTAATTTGCCTATGCAAACCAATGTAATAGGTGTTTAATAGCACCTCTCTCCTACATACTCACCTGGGAAAGTAAGGTTATATACCTGGCATTTCTAGGTATGGGGACATTTCCCTTCCTTACATGTGACAATACTGGTTCTTGGCAGCTCAGGCAAACTGCACTGCCAGCCTGTCATAGGCAACACTATGCAAGCTCCAAGTCATGGAGTTTAAATACGGCTTTTTTATGATATACAGAGGTGAGCAGTTGACAGAGGAGTGAAAGTATATATAAGCAGCTGTTGGAGGCTGGCATTAAAGTAAACTTGTCTGCTTGGGCAAACCACAGATTCACAGCAAGGTACCTAAACACTGTGCTGTATGCTGTGTTGCATTTGAACATACATGCCTGTAGTTACTTGGGCAATAATCACTATAATGAATGCAGCTGCAGTATTTACTATTACTGTATATTGCTCAACATGCATCAAAATTCTGCATGTTCCATCTGGTTGGAAGGTAAACCTAACAGTATTCACATTAAAAGTTTTCTTAAAGTGACCCAACACAAGCATACCCAAACACAAACACAGTCAAATGACCAATGAGCGCATGCCCTAATCTATTGTTTTTTGTAAACCAAACACATTTGTTTGGTTTATTACAATATATAAATACCTAATTCTCACAACATTAATTAATTTAATGTAGAGAAGAATGTACACCAGACTGCGCCTCAAATCTCAAATTAGTGGCCTGCAAGGTGCATAATACTGGTGTTTTAGTAAACACCAGGGTGGTCTAGTTAAGTCCATTGTGGTTTATGTGGCCGCAAATCAGATATTGCAAATTAAAGTTTACCAAGGTGTTTTAACCGCTTCCCCAACCGCCCTATAGCAGAAATACTGCTACAGGGCGGCTTGGGTGCGCAAAATCATATATATATATATATATATATACACACACAGGTAGGGGGCGCACATGGCTCGCCATTCGTGCCTACGGCTGTCAATCACTGGGTCCCAGCTGGTAATTACTCGCCAGCGCCCAGTGATTTCTGACAATCTCCGACGGGGAGGAGAACTGTTTTGTTTACTAACAGTTCTCCTCCCAGTCAGCTTGGGCACAATGATTACAGTGAAGCACACTGACACGGCCCTCTAGTAAAACACTCCCTGCACACAATTAACCCTTTGATCGCCCCTCATGTTAACCCCTTCCTGCCCAGTGCCATTAGTACAGCGTCAGTGCTTTTTTTTTTAGCACTGATCACTGTCACTGGGGATGACAGTGACACCAAGTCAGTTCCCCCCCAGTGTCAGAATGTCTGCCACAGTCCCGCTATAAGTCACTGATCACCGCTGTTGCTAGTAAAAATAAAAATCCCAGTATTTATACCATTTTTAAACACTATAACTTTCAAGTAAACCAATTCATTTATACGTATTGGGATTTTTTTAAGAAAAGACATGTAGCAGAATACATTTTGGCATACATTTATGAAAAAATTAGATTTTTTTAATTTTTTTGCTGGACACGTTTAATAGCAAGAAGTCAAAAATATAGTTTTTTTTCTCAAAATTGTTGGTCTTTTTTTTTATAGCGCAAAAAAAAAACCCCCCAAAAACGCACAGGCGATCAAATACCACCAAAAGAAAGCTCAATTCGTGGGAAAAAAGGACGTACATTTCATTTGGGTGCAGCGTTGCATGACTGCGCAATTGTCAGTTAAAGTAACGCAGCACCGTAAAACAAAAAATGGCCTGGTCAGGAAGGGGGGTAAATCCTCAGGAGGGAAAGTGGTTAAAAAAAATGTCAAATGACAACAGAGAAATATCTAATGCAAATCCGTAAAAGGTTTCAGCAGTTAACCTCATCATTGATTGCCATGTCTGTTGGTTTTGTTCCAGGAACAATGCCTTCATCTATATCATTCTCATCCACATCCTCAGGGTTGTACAGTGGTTCACAGTTTTCAATGAATGAGTCCGCACCTTATAGCAATAAAAACAGATGTACAATAACATTAATTATTAGCTCTTAAAATGAAATCTGATTTTCATCTAAGATAATAAAAGACAGTTTTACTTAAAGTGTTACTAAACCCAGGACTCTGCATTCACTATATCTGATCTCCCACAGTATAGAAAGAAAACTACCCCTACAAGCTTTAACTAGTACTGATAGAAGTCACAAGACTGCTCTAACTGCTGATGAGAAAAGGTATTTAGCAGTTTATATTTACTAAAATAATTGCTTTTCCATGTTATGTGTACCGTGGGAGACCAGATATAGTGAATGCAGGGTCCTGGGTTTAGTAACACTTTAAGCCTTTAATCCAATTGTCAATGGAACTTCCTTTCCTTGCAATAACCTGACCTAAAACTTTCTGTGGCTGCATTTCAGCTAAGGTAGCAAAGAAACACTCCACCATTATACTTGCACTAAAACAGGCATGAGCTTTTGGTGCTGTTGTGCAGTGTTGTATTTTTTTCAAACATAGCACAGTGCATACTTACTGAAAAAAATATATTTCTGTACCTGTACATAGATTAGTGTCCTAACAATGCTGTGGAATATTCATTTCTTTTTGTTTGTAAGTGCATTGATTTCTTCCATGTTAATCACCTATGAACTTTACTCTTGTTCAGTATTTTTCCGATGGTTGAAATAACTGTTATCAAATGCACCAAATGCTCGGAAAGGCGTAATCTGTCTGAGCGTTGTACAGTGTACCCTGACTATAACTACTCCTAGGGAGAGTGGCAATGGTGCTGAATCCCTTGCATTTGTAAATGAGCTGCTGACTGTGGACTGATGATGACTCTGTCTTTATGAATACTGTCACAGGGCACAGAGAAATCTGTTCAAAAAAGAGCATGCAACCAAAATATGGTAAGAGGGCAGTTTACATCCATACATGAACTGCCTGAAACATCCTCACTCTATTTACTCTTTTTAAAAATATCATTATCCTATATATTCACATGTTTTTCTACTAGTTACCTTGACTGACTGAACCACCTTTTCAATAAAAATATTTCAATATATTGCATGTGTACTATTTACTAAAAAAAAGACTATCGCTACTATTATAACATATTAAACACTAGCTAACATTTAGGTAACAAGTATAAATTCAAAAAACCTGTATGATAAAGTGTAAATTTACCCAAAAGTGATTAAAGTGTTTGTTGGGTTATCTCGCTTGCCTAAATTTCCTTCAGGAGGTTTGTTTGCTGTAGAGGCTATACCTGGCCAGCTCTCTTTTAAGTAGCAGTGACATTATCTCATCCTCCTTCTGCTGGATCTTCCATACATACTGTATATATGAAGAATCCAAAACATATACTGTATATCCAACTGCTACTACTCACCATAATGCTGAACAAGTAATTCCACTAAGATTTTGTTGATGGGGAAGGTAAGTATATGGCCCCTAATATCCAGGGCAGTAGCAGTGGCACATTTCCCCACTGAAGTATTTGATATCTTTATTGATCTGCTGGAAGGTGAGTACATTCAGCACGATATATAAATGTATCAACTTTTATCAATTTTTTAAATATTTTGTATTTGTATTTTTTTTTATAGAACTCAAAGGGTTGTTGTACATATAGTATAATCGTAGTTGTATATGACAGGAATGTAGCCTTGTGCATGTAAACTTTCTTTCTACAGTTACTTTTATCTCAAATTTAATTAATTCTAATTATTATTATTATACAGTATTTATAAAGCGCCAATAGTTCGCTCAGCGCTGTACATTACAATGGGGACAGAACAATAACAATACAATACAGTGCAAAACATGAGGGGATCGAGGTCTCTTTCGAGCTTACAATCTAGGAGGGAGAAATGGTGGCACAGGAGGAGAAAGCTGTGGGGGATGGAGTGGTAGGAAGAGTGGAGAAGGTCGGCAAGTTAGCAGGGGGTGGGGTAGGCTTCCCTGAAGAGGTGGGTTTTCAGGGTGCACCTAAAGGAGAGGAGAGTAGGTGATAATCTGATGGGTTGGGGCAGGGAGTTCCAGAGGATGGGTGACACCCTGGAGAAGTCCTGGAGGCGGGCATGGGAGGAGGAGACCAGGGAACTAGAGAGAAGGAGGTCTTGTGTGGAGCGGAGAGTGCGTGCTGGGTGGTACTTGGATATTAGGTCGGTGATGTAGTTCGGGGCAGTATGGTGGACAGCTTTGTACGTCAGTGTTAGGATTTTGAATTTGATCCGTTGCGCAATCGGAAGCCAGTGGAGGGATTGGCAGAGGGGGGTGGCATAAACGGAGCGGTTGGAAAGGTAAATGAGTCTGGCAGCCGTATTCAGGATCGACTGAAGTGGGGATAGCCAGCGGCGAGGCAGGCAGTAAGGAGGGAGTTGCAGTAATCGAGTTGTGATATGATGAGGGAGTGGATGAGCTGTTTAGTGGTTTCTGGGGTTAGGAACGTGCGTATTTTGGCAATGTTGCGGAGGTGGAGTCTGCATGAGTTTGTTAAAGATTGGACTTGGGGCTGGAAGGATGAGTCCAGAATGACACCAAGTACTCTGGCCTGCGGGGTGGGTTTGATGGTGGCGTTGTTGGACATGATGGAGAAGTCAATGGGGGGTGGTGTGCGGGCTGGGGGGGAAGACAAGAAACTCGGTTTTGGAGAGGTTCAGTTTAAGGAAGTGGAGCGACATCCAGTCTGATATGTTGATCAGTAGGTGTGTGATTCGGGCGGATACTGAGGGGGTGAGGTGGGGGGTTGAGAGATAGATTTTGTGTGTCGTCGGCATATAGGTGGTAGTTGAAGCCATGAGAGTGTATGAGTTGGCCAAGGGAGGAGAAGGCTGCGGAGAGGTCAAGGAGTAGGAGCACTGAATAGTGGCCATTAGCTTTGGCGGTTAGCAGGTCGTTGGAGAGTTTGAGTAAGGCAGTTTCGGTGGAGTGTAGGGGACGGAAGCCGGACTGTAGGGGATCGAGGAGGTTGTTGTCGTTGAGGTGAGAGCTTAGGCGGGGTGTAGACTAGGCGCTTGAGGAGTCTGGATGTGAATGGGAGCAGGGAGATGGGTCTGAGGTTGTTCGGGTCATAGGGGTCCAGGGAGGGCTTTTTAAGTATGGGGGTGATGTGTACATGCTTCAGAGGGGAGGGGAAAGTGCCGGAGGAGAGGGAGAGATTAAAGATGTGGGTGAGGGAGCATAGGATGGAGGGGGAAGGAGGTTGTAGGAGTTGTGAGGGGATAGGGTCGAGGGGGCAGGTGGTGAGGCGGGCATCAGAGAGGACCTTGGAGACTTCCTCAATGGTAGTAAGGTCAAAGGTGCGGAGTGTTGAGGGGGCTTCAGTATGCGGAATGTGGGGTGGGGTGAAAGTGGAGGTCAGAGCAGTGGTGGGGCCGTGGGAGAGGGGTGATGATGGGGGTGTAGCTGAGTGAGGTGGGGGGAACGGTGTTGGAGGGAGTTTGAGCAGTGACGAAGTCCCTGCGGGTTATGTCGAGGAGTTGTGAGGGGATAGGGTCGAGGGGGCAAGTGGTGAGGCGGGCATCAGAGAGGACCTTGGAGACTTCCTCGATGGTAGTAAGGTCAAAGGTGCGGAGTGTTGAGGGGGCTTCAGTATGAGGAATGTGGGGTGGGGTGCAAGTGGAGGTCAGAGCAGTGGTGGGGCCGTGGGAGAGGGGTGATGAGGGGGTAGCTGAGTGAGGGGGAACCGGGTTGGAGGGAGTTTGAGCAGTGACGAAGTCCCTGCGGGTTATGTCGAGGGAGAGGAGGGATGAGGGGGTAGCTGTGTGACAGGGGACGGGTTGAGAGGGAGTGTGAGTTGCGGCGATGTCCTTGCGAATTGTGTCAATCTTGTTTTTGAAGTGATTGGCAATCTCAAGGGCGGTGAGTGAGGTGCTGGGTGGAGGTGGGGGTGGAGAGAGTAGAGAGAGTTGAAGGTGGAGAAGAGTCGGCGAGGACTGGAGTAGAGGGCCTTGATGAGGGTCGGGAAGTAGGCTTGATTGGCGGCGTGGAGGGAGGAGGTGTAGGTGTGGAAGGCAGATTTGTAGCGGATGAAGGCTTGTTGGGATTTGGTTTTGCGCCATAGTCGCTCCAGGGCACGACTGTGTCGTTTGAGGGATTTGGTGTGATCAGTCTGCCAGGGCTGGAGCGGTCGGGGTCCGATGTTGCGTGTGGTTAAAGGCGCTAGTGAGTCAAGGGCTGTTGACAGCTTGTTGTTATAGGCAGTCATAGCCAAGTCGGGGCAGGACACGGGAAGGATGCTGTCATAGAGTTGATCAGCTGCAGAGTGGAGGGGGGCAGGGTTAAGGATGCGGAGGTTACGGCTGGTAGTAGTGTGAAATTTGGAGGGGTAGACGTTGGAGGACGAGGAGATAGAGAAGGTAATCAGGTTGTGGTCAGAGAGAGGGAAGGGGGTGTTAGTGAGGTTGTGGGGAGCGCAGTGGTTGGAGAAGACGAGATCAAGGATATTACCGTCAGAGTGGGTGGTGGATTGTATGCACTGTGCAAGTGCAAAGGAGGAGGTTAAGTGGAGGAGATAGGATGTGGCCGGGTTGTCGAGGTTGACAGGGATGTTGAAATCCCCAAGGATGATGGTGGGTAGCTCAGAGGAGAGGAAGAAGGGTAGCCAGGAGGAAAAGTCATCCAGGAAGCGGGATATGGATCCAGGAGGCCAGTATATCACAGCAATCTTCAGGGGGGTTGGGGAGAATAGTCGGACGCAGTGGGCCTCAAAAAAGGAGAAGGATAGAGAGGGGGGGGTTTGGGAGGACTCGGAAGATGCTCTGTGGTGACAGGAGCAGACCAACCCCACCACCTTTACGACTGTTGGGTCTGGGTGAGTGGGTCCAGGTGAGACCTCCGTAGGAGAGTGCAGCAGGGGAGGTAGAGTCCGTGGCCTGGATCCAGGTTTCTGTGATCGCTAGGAGGTTGAGGGAGCGGGAAACAAAGAGGTCGTGGATGGCGGTAAGCTTGTTGCACACCGATCGGGCGTTCAGCAGTGCACATGAAACGGGGGGGCGATTTTAGGAAGCAGAGGGACAGATACTAAGTTGCGGGGGTTGCGGCAGGACGTGGAGGCGGGAGGGTGTTGTGTGGGTGAGGGAGGTGGTGGAGGGCCAGGATTCGGGGAGATGTCCCCTGCGGTTAGGAGGAGGTGAAGGGTGAGAAAGGTGGCATGGGAGCGGGATGTGCAGGAGCATGTGAAACTACTAGTGGAGGTGTTGGGGTCAGTGGGAGAGTGGAGTATTAGGAGGAGGTGGTGGGTGCCGTAGAGGGGTGAAGGAAGCAGTGAGGACACAATATACAATTGTTTGGGAGGAGCAGAGGGATATAGTGAATGGATTTTGGGAACGGAGGAGAGGAAAATGAGGAGGAGTGGAAGAGGCATTTTAGGGAGGTGCACGGGGTGGCGCATAGGGGTGGTGGGAGGCTTGGTTGTCGATATGCCTCTGCCCGCTGGACTATCTCATCTCTTCTGGTGGCTGGAGTTTAGGGGAGAAGGGGGAGGGGATCGGGTGTGGATATACGGTTTCCAGGGGCGCTTGAGTGGCGACAGTCTGGGGTGCAGAGGGGTCTCTCGTTGTGGTGGCAGTCAACAAGGGTTCAAGTCTTTTAAGTTGAGCTGGGGGTTGGTATGAGTGGAGGTGCTGAAGGCCCGGCGTCTGGAGGTGGAGTGGCCTAGGCCTTGGTAGGCGCAGTAGGGTCCGGCGTCAGTGGGTGTTGTGGGCCAGTGCATGTGGATGCTGCGGGCCAGTGACTGAGGGTGCTAAGGGGCCCAGCGTCTGTGGGAGCGGTAGGGTGCGGCGATCGTAGGTGTTGTAGGGCCCGGCGTCAGTGGGTGCAGGAGGCCGCGCGGCAGGCTTGCCTCTGCCGGATTGGATGGGGCTCGGGGCTGTGCGGTGGCAGGGGTACGGCTGTGTGGTACACAGTGGGGAGCAGGGAAGCAGATCTGGTAGTGGTGGCTTGCCCTCTTGGTGCTGGTACACCAATTCTAATAAGGTCTTCTATTTATTAATCAGATTTTTCTCTACTAAAACTTTATAAAATCTTTACAAAAACAAAACTTTTTACCCCCGTCTTACTGGTGGACCAGAATAAAACCAGTGTAGATATATTGCAGATGTACTAACTCACCGAGATCTCTCTGCATTATTTACTACTCCATATGAGAAAAAAATGGACCTCATTTATTAAAGTGTTTGACATTTGTTTTCTATTGGTCATTGATCATTAACAATTCTGTGTAGAAAAATGAGCATACCTGCTGCTTTCAAGAGAGCTGTGAGTTTTGTAGAACCTCTGCCAGCCGCTATATGAAGAGGGGTGCTCCCATCATACGTTGTACTATCTACACATGAATCTCCCTGTGGGAAGGAAGCAAATACTGAAGGGAAAGAAGGAAACAGACTATGCAACCCCATGCCAGGGATAGCAACACAACACAACATGTTGTCAGAAAAGTCTCTTTATTGTATCTAAGTCCTCATGCACACTAGGCGTTTTAAAAACACTGGTAGTGTTGGCTGTATAAAGTCATGTTAAAAACAAGAGTTTTTTTCTGCATTTTTTTAAACATTTTTGCATTTGCATCTAGTCACATTTTTACACATTTGCGGTTTTTGGATTTTTTTTAGCGTTTTTTTGCACAAAAAAAATAAATACAATTTTGCTAAAAAAAAAAAAACACCCAAAAAATGCTGGTTTGCCGCATTTACCAGCGTTAGAGCGTTTTTACAGCTAAAAGACTCCTCTACAAACTCACTAGTTCTGTTTTTTTTTCCAGTCAAAAAATGTCCTTGCCAAAAATGCTGATTAACACATAGGATAACATGCTGGGGAGTTTACTATCTGTAGGAAAAAAACGTCAAAAGCCAAAAACAGCAGCTGCGAAAAACATCCAGTGTGCATGAGGACTTAATGTTAAAATATTCAACATTCAAATACAGTGAGGAACAGAAGTATTGGAACACCCTGCGACTTTGCAAGTTCTCCCACTTAGAAATCATGAAGGGGTCTGAAATTCACATTGTAGGTGCATTCCCACTCTGAGAGACAAAATTAAAAAAAAAAAAATCAGGAAATCACATTGTATGAATTTTAAAGAATTTATTTGTCTTGCACTGCTGAACATAAGTATTTGAACACCTAAGAAACAGCAAGAATTCTGGCTCTCAAAGACCTGTTACTGTGCCTTTAAAAAGTCCACCTCTACTCCACTCATTAATCTAACTTCGAAGCACCTGTCTGAGCTCTTTAAAGACACCTTCCACCCCACAGTCAGTCAGACGCCAACTAATACCATGGGCAAGACCAAAGAGCTGTCAAAAGACACCAGAGACAAAATTGTGGACCTCCACAAGGCTGGAAAGGGCTACGGGGCAATTGCCAAGCAGCTTGGTGAAGATAGATCAACTGTTGGAGCAATTGTTAGAAAATGAAAGAGGCTAAAGACGACTGTCAGTCTCCCTCGGACTGGGGCTCCATACAAGATCTCACCCCGTGGGGTATCACTGATGATAAGAAAGGTGAGGAATCAGCCCAGAACTACAAGGGAGGAGCTGGTCAATGACATGAAGAGAGTTGGGACCACAGTTTCAAAGGTCACTGTCGGTAGGACACTACGTCGTCATGGTTTCAAATCATGTATTGCACGGAAGGCTCCCCTGCTCAAGTCATCACATGTCCAGGCCCGTCTGAAGTTTGCCAATGACCATCTGAATGATCCAGAGGAGGCATGGGAGAAAGTCATGTGGTCAGATGAGACCAAAGTAGAACTTTTTGGTCTAAACTTCACTCGTCGTGTTTGGAGGAAAAAGAAGGATGAGTTGCATCCCAAGAACACCATCCCTACTGTGAAGCATGGGGTGGTAAAATAATGCTTTGGGGGTGCTTTTCTGCGAAGGGGACAGGACGACCGCACTGTATTAAGGAGAGGATGAATGGGGCCATTTATTGTGAGATTTTGAGCAACAACCTCCTTCCCTCAGTCAGAGCATTGAAGATGGGTCGTGGCTGGGTCTTCCAACATGACAACGACCTGAAGCATACAGCCAGGATAACCAAGGAGTGGCTTCGTAAGAAGCATATCAAGGTTCTGGAGTGGCCTAGCCAGTCCCCAGACCTAAATCCAAAAGAACATCTTTGGAGGGAGCTGAAACTCCGTGTTGCTCAGCGGCAGCCCCGAAACCTGACAGATCTAGAGGAGATCTGTGTGGAGAGTGGGCCAAAATCCCTGTTGCAGTGTGTGCAAACCTGGTCAAGAACTACAGGAAACGTTTGACCTCTGTAATTGCAAACAAAGGCTTCTGTACCAAATATTAACACTGATTTTCTCAGGTGTTCAAATACTTATGTTCAGCAGTGCAAGACAAATAAATTCTTTAAAAATCATACAATGTGATTTCCTGAATTTTTTTTAAAATTCTGTCTCTCAGAGTGAGAATGCACCTACAATGTGAATTTCAGACCACTCCATGATTTCTAAGTGGGAGAACTTGCAAAATCGTAGGGTGTTCAAATACTTCTGTTCCTCACTGTATACTATCAATTTTTATTTATTACAGATACAGGTATAGCGCCATCAATTTACATATTTTTTATACATTCACATCAGTCCCTGCCCTCAAGGAGCTTACAATGTAACGCCCCAAACCCACATTCATACATATACTAGGACCAATTTAGACAGGAGCCAATTAACCTCCTAGCATGTCTTTGGAGTGTCGGAGTAAGCCCACATAGGCACAGGGAAAACATGCAAACTCTGTGCAGGTAGTGCTGTGGTTGGGATTCGAACGGATGACCCCGGTGCTGCTAGACAGAAGTGCTAGCCTCTTAGCTGCCCATTTGTATCCAAAATATAAAAGAAACTGGTAGTATGCACAAGACCCATGTGTTTTGTTCACACTACCTGTTGCTGCCACCCCTGAAACCTTTATGGTGGTGGCTGCAGTTGATACATACTGCACAGACCATCTGCTTAACAGTGAATGTTAATCTACATCATATTAGAGCCCTCATTTGCTATTTAGGTTGACACTTGTGCGGGTGGTTGCAGGTGCGGGACAGCGGCAAATCGCACCTTTTCCTGCACCTGCAACTACACTGTCCTGTGCTTTTGCAGAAGCATGGGGCTACGATTCGTTCTTAACGGCACCCCCACACATCTGAAAACACAGCGCGTTTTCAGTTGCAGGAAATCACAAGGAATAAATGTGTGCTGTTGTTTGGTTACCTAGCTCAGTGGTATATCTAAGGGAGGATGGCAAGATTTATCTCCCCAGACAAAAAAGAATAGTTGGAGTCAGGGACAGACTAACTATTCGGGCATTGCCTAAGAGCCGGGATCAGTAGGGGGCCCCATGAGAGGCTCTTTGATGTCGTTATGAGGGTAGCATATTTAGGTCTGTCTGAATAATGTGTCTGCCTCAAAACCCAGACACATTATTCAGACAGGAATGTGGCTCTGAGCAGGACCTGGCAGGATGGAGGGGATGGGGAGGCAGGAAAAACGTGTACCCAAAGAGCAGAGGACTGCCGGTGACAGTGTGGAGAGCAGAGGAGGAGGCAGTCTCAGGTCCCGGGCCATGTTAGTGCCTTGCTACATGCTGCTGGTGATGGAGTCAGTGGGCAGTGGGAAGGTGAGAGGCAGTGGCGTATCATCCATGGGTGCAAGGTGTTCACTGCACACACCCTGCACCCATGAATGACAAGCATCAGGAGCAAAGTTAGGGATGATCGGTGCAGCGGAGGGGACAGTCACAAGCCTCGATCTCCATGTATGGCTTTCAATGAAGCAGCTGAAAGCTGTGGAAGGGAGAGGAGGAGAATCGGCTTCCAGTTGCTTCATTGAAAACCATAAAGGGAGATCACTACATGTAACTGTCCCACCGCTGCACCGATCATCCCTAACTGTGCATCGGATTTCCCTTCTGGATCCCCTCAGGTGCTCCTCAGCCCCCCGCAGGTCTCTGATGCCTCGACTTCTCTGCCAGTGCTCAGCCCCTCCCCCCCATCCTCCACAACAATAACAGAGAGCCCAGATCTGCTCTGCCTCACCCTGTTCCTGCCCACACTCCAGTCATGCAGCTTCTGAGAAGAGGATGTGTAGGGGGAGATTGTGTCCAGATCAGCCGGCAGCTCTGTGATGCTTCTGAATGTGCCTCCTTTCCTTCCTTCCTCCATCCATTCCCTCCCTCCCTCCCTCCCTCCCTTTTATTCCTTCCCTTCCTTCCTCCATCCCCTCCCTTTCTTCTTTCCTTCCTCTATCCCCTCCCTCCCCTCCTTTCCTTCCCTTTCTTTCATTCCTTCCTTCATCCATTCCCTTCCTTCCTTCATCCTTACATTCCCTCCCTTTTCTTTTATTTCTTCCTTAATCCCCTTCCTTCCCCCATCCCATTCCTTTCTCCTTCCCCTTCCTTCCTCCCTCTCATCCCTTCTTCTTTCCTCTATCCCCTTCCTTCCTCCATCCATTCCCTTCCTTTCTCCCTCTTTCCTTCCTCCATCCATACCTTTCCTTCCTTCATCAATTTCCTCCCTCTCTTTTCTTCCTTCCTGCATCCCCTCCCTTCCTTCTTTCCTCACTCCCCTCCTTTTTTTCCTCCCTTCTTCCCTCCCCTCCTTTCCTTCCTTCCTCCCTCCCCTCCCTTCCTTCCTCCCTCCCCCCCCTTCCTTCCTCCCTCCCCTCCCTTCCTTCATCCATTTCTTTCCTTCCCTCTATTCCCTCCCTTCATTCATTCTTTCCTTCCTCCATCCATCCCCAATCTCCCTCCCTCCCCTTCCTTCCTTCCTCCCCTCCTTCTTTTCTTTCCTCCCCCCACCCCCTTCCTTCCTTCCTCCATTTCCTTCCTTCACCCATCCCCTTCCTTCCTTTCCTCCCTTCCCCCATCCATCCCCTCCCTCCCTTCCTTCATTTCTTTCCTTCCCCCAAATCTCTCTCCCTCCCCTTTCCTATTTTGTCCTCCAGCAATATCATTCATGAGTGCAGCCAAAGAAGTTTAGTTTTGTGTCATCAGAATATGGTAGTAGTTGGTCCCATGTGGGGACATCTGATGTAAGAGGGACTTGATAGGGACGCATGATATAAGGGGGTACAGGTTCTGTTTTTTCATCCGAATCTCATAACAGCCCAACAAATACTAGTGCTCCCTGTCCACTCCCTACTGACACTGTCCACTGCCCACTGCCCACTGCCCACACAAAATCATTGTAAAAAAAATACAAGAATAAATTATAAAAAATAATTAAGAATATAAATAATAAAAATAAAAAAATTCTGACACCCCACTCCATTGTTCTACTGACAGCACCCAAAAGCATTCTGAAAAAATTATAAAAATAATAAAATATTAAATTGTAAAAAAAAAATCATAAAATTGTAAAAAAAAAAAATAAAATAATAATAATAATACAAATAAAGAACTACTGACACCATTCACTGCCCTACTGACACCATCCTGCACATACTACCCACCACCATACACTCCACACTCCTCTCCACTGTCATATACTTCACGCTGTACATTCCCTATTTAACATTACCACATTCTACACTATGTAAGTCATCTCAGACACTATTTAACCACACCCCTTTTAAGCCACACCCAATTTTTTAGTGCAATTTAAACCACACACTACCTCTCTCCCCTTCCTCTCTCTCTCACTCCTCCTCCTCTCTCTTTTTCACCCCTCCTCTCTCTCACACCTCTATCTCCCTCCCACCACATGGCAGCCATCTTTAAACCTGGAAGTTCCCAGTGGCTTCTACGGAAAGAAGCCAGGAACATTCATGCAGACTTAGCTGCAGTAAATATCTAAATGCCCCTTCTTTGCAGCTGAGCTGCAATATGTAGGTAGGGGGTTGTGTGGGTGTAGCTTAAGTGTAGGCAGGGAAACAGAGGGCCCCATTATTTCTTATTGCCCCATGAGTTGTCAGTCCGCCCCTGGTTGGAGTACATTATCAAACAGTAAAGACCTTTAAGCACTGTGTGTGTTGGTGACAGATGAAAAAGACACTTACAAAAGAAAACTTCAACAATGTTGCTTAAAAGAGAATGCTGGGGCAACCAAGTGTTATCACCAGACTCTAGGAAGCAAACATTTCCATGTTCTCACCTCAAGAAGCAGACAGCCTGCCAGAGAAATGTTGTCTTGTTCAACAGCAAAATGCAAAGGGGTTCTCCCTGACTTCTGCTCCTGGGCATCCACATCTGCCCTTGCTAATATTAACTGTCGAAGGCAGCCCATACTGTTTGCAATTACTGCTATGTGGACTGCACTTAAGCCTGGTGGAGAACAAAGACCTGTTATGTTCTGAGGAGCATTTTCATTTGTTTTAGATACATTGGCAAACATGAATATTTCATTTCACTTTTTTTTGTAGCGATCTGCAAATTTTATGTCCATGCAGAACTCCTAACCACAAAAATTCATATTTAACAACCAAACTTAACACTACTGATTACTTTAATGCTACCACGCACAATTAGGACCAATACCGAAAAAAAAATTCCCACAAAACATGGGTTAACACCACAGTATTATCTCACATATTTCAAAAATATAAAAAATGCAAGAAAATGACATGTATACATAAATGTATTCTCCACATGAACCAGTAGCATGCATTACTAAACCACATCACTAAATCATATTGTTATTTAGGAGTAAAAAATACTGCTTTCTTGGTTCTCTGCATACATGCGCACACCCCATTATGGGACAACTCGAACCTCCCTGAATCTCCTCCTTCTGCCCCCTGCATCGACATTGGCATATCGACTTAAAACCCAATGGGAGGTGGACGTGGGGGAGCTGGATGATGAACTGTAGAAAGAGGTATTGACTGCAAGCAAATTGGTCTGCCCGAAAGTGTCGGATTGCCTCACCCAGCTACACATAGTACATAGAACCTATTTAACGCCTATTCAGTTATCTAGATACAGACCACAAAAAAACTATCCACTCTGTCCTAGATGTGGGTTTTCGATGGTACCTTTTTTTTATCTCATATGGTCTTGTCCTCTTATCCAGGGTTATTGGATTCAGGTGGTTCAGTTCCTCCATGATAAAATGGGCTCCCCCCTAATTTATGCCCTAAGCAATGCTTACTTGGTCTTCTTCTTACCTCAGAAACTGACAAATTTCAAACTATTTTCTTACAAAAACTCTCTTTATGGACAGATTATTGATTGCCCGTACTTGGCTTTGAGCACTCCCACCTACATTTCCACAGTGGGTTGCTGCAATAAATAGTACATTACCATATAAGAAGGTTATTTATATGCATAGAGGATGCCCTGCTAAGTATCATAAAATTCAGGTTTAAGTGGCTTGACTCCATGTCCACTTGTGATGTGGAAGAGGATGTGTGATTGCGGTTTATTTTGCCCTTTCCTTGTTACATATATTTATCCCCGCGGTAGAGGAGCCATGTTAGCTGATCTTTGTTAGTTTTCTTTTACTTGCCCGGTGGCAAGTGGTTTCTTGTTTGTGTACTTATAATTCTTTTTGCCATTACTTTGTCTCCGTTCCCATTGTATGTATGATGTGACTACGTGTATTCTTCTCTTAATAAAGAGATTAATTGTTGAAAAAAAATACCGCTTTCTTAAAAAAAAAAAAAAAGAAGAAGAAATAATATATATATATATATATATATATATATATATATATATATATATATATAGGGACTGGCTTAAATTCAAACGAGCCGTGGCTGCTCCCACTCAGCCATAGTTGACCTAACAATTTACTTTTGTTGAGTGGCGAGTCTGCACCAGCAGAATACAATGTCTCAGCAGGGAGGATTCCTCTATCAACTTCTCTTGCTTGGTGAGGGAATCTTTTAATTTTTTTTGATCAGCCCGCTGGCTGATCTAAACAAAAACGAGTAATCTTTGGTCAGCTTAAACTGTATAGAATGTGTTGTTTGTGGAAAGACTCTAGATTTGTATTTAGATAAGGTGCACAAAGGAAGCAAATACAGCTGTTTCTTTGTAAGTAGATAATTACAAACTACTCCAAGGAACACAGATTTTAATACATTAAAGAATATATTAAAAGGATAAAATTTCCATATAAATATTATTGTGAACCTGCAACCACAGGGTTACTTGTAAAAGAAACCTGGGCTGTAAAAGATGATACTGCATACTTACCTTTCCGCTGTCTGTGTTTTCCAATGCTGCTTTGCTGCTCCCTGGCTGTTGTACGTATTCCACACTTCCATGCATGTGAATACCTGCTCCTCCCGCCGCAGGCAGTATTTCCTTTAGCCAGATTATATGTCACAACAGGACAAAGCGGTGGAATTTGAAGGCACAGCCTGCTGGAAATATATACATGATCTTCTTCTACTGGTCAGGCTTCTTTTGCTAGTGTTCCTGTGGTAACAGGTTCACTTTAATGTTTCCGATATAAATAATTTACTTCTTCACTTCAGTATTCTTACTATCTTACCATCATTGTTGGGAAGATTGATAATCTCAGTTAATTTTGGGTGTTTAAGAAGAATGCTAAGAGTGGTTGCATCTCCTTCCTTACATGCAAGGTGCAGGACAGAATTCCCATTACGATCTAACATTAATGGATCTCCTCCTGCTTTCAGAATATCTTCAACAACATCAGATTGACAAGTGATGACAGCCAAATGCAAAGGAGTCTACAAATGTAGAAAGAGATTATTAGCATAAACCATATTATGTACTGAGCAAGAACCATTTATAAACAGGGATCTTCCTCAACTGTCACCTAATAACAGTAAATGAAAGTGGAAGTCCTGGAGCCTTATCCTTATTCCCTGTCAACATGATGCAGGGAAGAACCCTTGTTATTGTGTGATAGCTTCAGGCATGGAGTGGATACACACTGCACATGTCCACTGCCAAACAGTGAATATTGGTGATTGTGAGTCTGGAGCATGCAAGAGCTGCCAGTTGATACTGGTACAGAGTTCAGTGGATCCACTGTATTACCAGGGTTGACAACTGGTTAACAGGCAGGGCAGATGCAAGAGTGGTACAAGTCTTCAAACATATGGTCAGACCAAACAGCAAAAGAGTCAGAAGGCTGATGGTCAGATAGAGCAAAAACAAACCAATCCAATAAAACAGTTTAGGTTCCAAAATAGGCAGACAGAGTGGCAGTAGCAAAGCAAACTGATGCTTACTATAAGCACAGGCAAACTGCATGGAAACCTAGTTCAGACAACTTGCAGGTGTAATCTAGGGCATGATCAGTCAAACAAACGTCACACAGATCTGAATCCAGGGCATGGACAGGTAAATTAATCTATCAGGCGCAGTCTGAATGTCCAGCAGTCTACTTAAGCACTCTTGACTAGGGCAGGAATGCAGTGCAGAAACATGAGCTGCAGTAGTTGAGAAATACCCTTGTTCTTCTAGTCAGGCTGTAACTGTAAAGAAACTGCAAGACTTTGCATACAGTTTGTTTTCTTATGCCAGAAATGTATTTAGCCAATTTAAACTGAAAATTTAGTTTTGCTTTATAACTAAAAAAAATAAACAAACTATAGATAGAGACTAAAACTAAACAAATGTATGCGATTCTACAATTAATTCCTCTTGAATTAAATATTAATTGTAATAAAAACTCAGACAAATGGTATTACTGCTCTTTCACTGATACAGTGATCAATGTGTTATTGTGTGGCATATTTTTAAACAATATTTTGCTTGCTACATATAAAAACTCACTATACTGCACGTGTGTGTAGTGGACATGAAATTTGCTGGATAAAGCAAGGTGATTACAAGTGATGAGGGTGACCAAAGTAGCTGAAGGCAGACAGCAGGAATGGTTCTTTTCGAGTGGAAGCAGCAGCCAGGAGATGCTTCTTTGATGCTGTTTGGTGGGACAGAGAGTGCGGAATGTGACACTCTACGCAGAGGAATGACATCAATGCTCTGTCCCACAGGGTTAAACGCCTGCTGCGGTGCTACATCCAACAAAAGATGGGGAATAACAGTCCTCGGCAACCAAAAAAAATTAGAGCACTCCTGGTGCCTGGCCTCTACTACTAGTGATTTCGCATTTGTTTTTTTTATATCGCATTCACATGATGCCATAGTTTCCAAGACACTTTTCTACTTTCCAGTTGGTCAAAACGATTTATTGCATTCAAGAGCTCAATACTAACATGGTCTCATATTTACAGCTTTTTATTATTCAAAATATAAATGACACATTTTTTATTGTCTTATGCCCAGACATATTCTAATTACATAATGTGACTAGATTAAGTAGGAATTTATTTTCTATTTGTGTGCTACCAAATCAACCCAAGATCAGAAAAATATATACAAAGTGTACACATTATCTAGGTGTACTGGTAATTATGTAGGTTTATTGGTAATTTTTATACTGGAAATTTCCCTTAGAAGGGGTTTTCCAGAACACATCCTCACATTAAAAAATGCTGCAGAACGTAATTAAAAATAAACCTGCACACAAAGTCCAATACTTGTTGAGCCTGCCAGTAATGTTCACCAAATAGAACTTCCTATGATGATGAGACAATGATCCTGCACTGCACTGTTGCCACTCTTATGTAAGCTGTGCCTGCTTGCACTACAATGGAATGAAAAAAATGTTACAGGGGACATGGCTATCAACATTGATGCTACAGGTTCACAAGCCTTCAGCTTGTCAATGAGCAAAAAAAAAAAATTAAAAAATTATACAGTGTCTACGCAGCTGATGCCTAAATTCCTTCTTACTCCTAGCTGCTAGCACACTTTTGATTCACTGCACAAAATTAAGAACAAAAATTAAAAATGTGCAGCGCTTATCTATTAAAAATCAAATATTAAACTATATATGACAATTATTGTGGACAAAAATTGGCATATTGCATCATACAAAATGCACAGACCAATTAAAAAAAAATATTTCTCAAAAATCTCCTAATAATCATAACCAAATACACTTAAAAACATTTATCTCCGTGTGCTTATATTGTTTGTGACATTCACAATTAAAAGTCCAAAATGCTTCAATGCAAACCACACTCAAATCTTTAATGTGCAATTGTGTGCGATCCAAATCTTATGCAATCTCCTCCCTATAGTCTGTGATATTCAAAAATAAAAAGTCCAAATTGCTTCAGTGCAAAACACACAAACATCTCCTAATAATCATAAAAGAATACCCTTAAAAACATTTATTTCCATGTGCTTATATTGCCCATGGTATTCAAAAGTCCAAGTGGCTTCAGTGTGAAACACTCATATGCAAATCTTGTGCAATCTCCTCCTTAATCAGTGCCATGTAGCCGAAACGGCTGCACTTGAGCTCCCAGAATCTCCTGCGCGCCCCAGGGGGCGCGCACCCGGCGATCTCCGTGATCGCTGTGTCTACACAGCTGATCACAATGTGGTAAAAGGCCAATCACAGCCTTTTACCACGTGATCAGTTGTCCAATACATGACAGAGACAGTGGGATGTCTCCTCCCCCTAACATACGGTATCCAACATCAGGGCACACAGTTGGCTCCTGTTGCAAGACACTGTCACCCACTGTTAACCCATGCCCAGCAGTGACCTGCGCCATGCAGGACCTGTGCCCAGAAGTAATAGAAACAAAGAAACTTTTTTTTTTTTTTCAAATTTTTTGCAATTTTTTTATTTATAGCGCAAAAAGTAAAGCGCCCAGTGGCGATTAAATACCACCAAAAGAAAGCTCTATTTGTGAGAAAAAAATGATCAACATATGGGTACAATGTTGCATGACTGCGCAATTGTCAATCAAAGTGCGGCAGCGCTGAAAGCTGAAAATTGGCCTGGTAAATAAGGGGGTATAAGTGCCTGGTAGGCAAGTGGTTAATCAGTGCCGTGTACCACTTGAGCATCCAGTGTCACACAAAGTTCAACAACGGTGTTGGTCTAGCCCAAAAATTGTTACATGACAGAGACAGGGATGTCATCACTCCCCCTAACATACGGCACCAACCAGCACAGTTGGCTCCTTTGCAAAGACACTGTCACTTTGATAGGAATGGACAAGGTGAAAAAATTTTGAAAGCATTATTCATGCATCAGAAATCTGTTGTAACACAGACCCCTCCAATATATCCAGTGTATACAATGGCAACATTCCGCACCTTTGATGTGCTTTTTAAGCACCAGTTTATCTGAAAGGTTGGGTTGTTCAATTAGCCAGAGGATGTGAAATTGGAGTAAAAAAAATCTAAATGCCAGGACCTCTCCTGCTTTATGGTGGGGTACTGAACAAATGTTAACATGGCTTGGCAAGCCAAGTGAATGAATTGTTACAATAAGTATTAAAGCATTAGCATAAGACTCAATTCACTTAGGTGTCCGCTTATGAACCAGCGGTAATAGATCTCTGCTCAGTTCTCCGGCATTCTCGGAGAACACAGTTCTCCTGTGAATGCAGTTTATGAAGCAGTGTAGATCAGTTCTCCAAACGAAGGGAGAACGGTTTACAAACGCTGGAGAACGGTCTACAAACACTGGAAAATGGCTGATTTTACTATAATCTCGTGATTCTCTCAGCTATTCTCTGTGTCATAAACGGACACCTTAATTGGTTCCTTAACACACGGATAAGTACCTATATTTTCACCCATGTGACTGTAATTTTCAAATCTTACTAGATTCAGCTGAAAATAACTGCCACCTTTTCAATCTTCAGTTTTATATTATTCTTAAAAATAAATTACCGAGCTGTTTTAAACATAGAAGTTGCAGCTCTTACTGCCAGCACCATTCAACCAAATTCCTGTGAGCACAAGCTGTCATAAATCAAGGGAGTTAAAAAAAACGACAGGTATGGGAGGGAGGGCTTTTAAAAAAAGTCCTGTTTTAAGATTCTCTCTCAACATACACTGATAAAACATACACTGATTGCATACCTGATAAAGATCATTTCGCACATTGATGATATCTTCACATATGACTCCAGATGTTATTTCCAGAAAGATCTTAACCAGTGCAACATGAAGGTGAATAACAGAAAGATGAAGGACACTGCAAATCGAACAAACATTATAGAGGTTTAAAAAACCTGTTGTATTAAAAACATGGAAAGTGCGTTGTTGAGCTCTCCTGAAGATGCCAATTGTTTTGCTATCATACTGATTTGCTTGTTACAACCCCAATTCCAAACAAGTTGGGATGCTGTGTAAAATCTACATAAAAACAAAAAATGCAATGATTTGCAAATCTCAAGGCCCCATATTTTAGTCACAATAGAAAACATATCAAATGCTTAAACTGAAAAATGTACTATTTTAAGAAAAAAAATTACCATATTTTTCGCTCCATAAGACGCACTTTTTTCCCCCAAAAAAAGGGGGGAAAATGTCAGTGCGTCTTATGGAGTGAATGTAAAGCGGCCGGTCCGGTATTTCTGCCGCCACCATGTCAGAATATCGGGCCGGCCACTCAGCTCTTTTCTCCTGCAGGACCTTACCTGTTCCTCACTCCAGCGCTGCAGTCTTCCTGCGGCGGCTTCTGTGACAGCCGGGTGCCCACTGCGCATGCGCAAGAAGCGCTGCGCTTTGTGAATGGTCTGGCGTCTTCTGGGACACATGACAGGTCCCAGAAGGCTCCGGGCCATTCACAAAGCGCAGCGCTTCTCGCACATGCGCAGTGGGCACCCGGCTGTCACAGAAGCCGCCGCGGGAAGAAGAAGGAAGAACAACTCCACGGAAGTGGGAGCGGGTACCTGTCAAATTCAGGTACCCGTTCCCCCTCCCTCCCCAAAGGTCCGCAGTCTCTGGTAATCTCCTTTACTGTCTGCAGTCTCTGGTCATCCCCTGCACTGTCTGCAGTCTCTGGTCATCTGTACTATGTTCACAGTCTCTGATCATTCCCTGTACTATGTCCGCAGTCTTTGGTCATTCCCTGTGCTATGTCCACAGTCTCTGGTCATTCCCTGTACTATGTCAGCAGTCTCTGGTCATTCCCTGTACTATATCCGCAGTCTCTGGTCATCTCCTGTACTATGTCCGCAGTCTCTGGTCATTCCCTGTACTATATCCGCAGTCTCTGGTCATCTCCTGTACTATGTCCGCAGTCTCTGGTCATTCCCTGTACTATGTCTCTGGTCAGTCCCCTGTACTGTGTCATGCAGTCCCTGTACTATGTATCTGCAGTCTCTGGTCATTCCCTGTAATGTGTCCGCAGTCTCTGGTCATCTCCTGTAGTGTGTCCGCAGTCTCTGGTCATCTCCTGTACTGTGTCCGCAGTCTCTGGTCATCTCCTGTACTGTGTCCGCAGTCTCTGGTCATCTCCTGTACTGTGTCCGCAGTCTCTGGTCATCTCCTGTACTGTGTCCGCAGTCTCTGGTCATCCCTGTACTGTGTCCGCAGTCTCTGGTCATCTCCTGTACTGTGTCCGCAGTCTCTGGTCATCCCCTGTACTGTGTCCGCAGTCTCTGGTCATCCCCTGTACTGTGTCCGCAATTCTCTGGTCATCTCCTGTACTGTGTCCGCAGTCTCTGGTCATCCCCTGTACTGTGTCCGCAGTCTCTGGTCATCCCCTGTACTGTGTCCGCAGTCTCTGGTCATCCCTGTACTGTGTCCGCAGTCTCTGGTCATCCCCTGTACTATGTTCGCAGTCTCTGGTCATCTCCTGTACTATGTCCGCAGTCTCTGGTCATCCCCTGTACTGTCTGCAGTCTCTGGTCATCCCTGTACTGTGTCCTGCAGTCTCTGGTCATCTCCTGTACTGTGTCCGCAGTCTCTGGTCATCTCCTGTACTGTGTCCGCAGTCTCTGGTCATCTCCTGTACTGTGTCTGCAGCCTCTGGTCATCCCCTGTACTGTGTCCGAAAGTCTCTGGTCATCCCCTGCACTGTGTCCGCAGTCTCTGGTCATCCCTTGTACTGTGTCCGCATTCTCTGGTCATCTCCTGTACTGTGTCCGCAGTCTCTGGTCATCCCTGTACTGTGTCCGCAGTCTCTGGTCATCCCCTGTACTGTGTCCGCAATCTCTGGTCATCCCCTGTACTATGTTCGGAGTCTCTGGTCATCTCCTGTACTGTGTCCGCAGTCTCTGGTCATCTCCTGTACTGTGTCCGCAGTCTCTGGTCATCCCCTGTACTGTGTCCGCAGTCTCTGGTCATCTCCTGTACTGTGTCCGCAGTCTCTGGTCATCTCCTGTACTGTGTCCGCAGTCTCTGGTCATCCCCTGTACTGTGTCTGCAGTCCATTGGTTCAGAATATTTTTTTTTCTTGTTTTTCTCCTCTAAAACCTAGGTGCGTCTTATGGTCAGGTGCGTCTTATGGAGCGAAAAATACGATAAGTAATTTTGAAACTGATGACAGCAACACTCAAAAAAGTTGACAGCTGGAGGAACATAACTAATTAGGTTAATTGGCAGGTCAGTAACATTATTGAGTATAAAACAAGCAGTTTAGAGAATTAGAGTATCTCAGAAGTAAAGATGGGCAGAGGTTCACCAATCTTTTGCAAAGACTAAATATATCATCATCTACAGTACATAATATTATCAAAAGATTCAGAGAATCTGGAGAAACCTCAAGAGAAATGTGGGCAAGGGACAAGGCTGAAACGCAATATTGGATGCCCGTAATCTTTGATACCCTCAGATAGCACTGCATTAAATACAGGCATGATTCTGTGATGGACATCACTGCATGGGCTCAGGAATAAAAATCACCATCTGTGAACACTGTCTGCCATGCCATCAAAAAATGCAAAGTAAAGCTCTATCATGCAAAGAAGCCATATCTGAACATGATCCAAAAATAGCGCTGTCTTCTCTGGGCCAAAGCTCATTTAAAATGGTCTGTTGCAAAGTGGAAAACGTTGGTCAGACAAATCAAAATTTGACATTCTTTTTGGCAAGCATGGGTGCCGCATCCTCTGAACTAAAGAGGAGAGGGACCTTCCAGCTGGTTATCAGCATTCGGTTCAAAAGAAAGCATCTCTGACGGTATGAGGGTTCATTAGTGCGTATGGAATTGGCAGCCTGCTCATCTGGAAAGGCATCATCAATGCTGAAAGATATAGCCAGGTTTAGGAGTAGCATATGCTCCCTTCCAAATTATTTTTTTTTTTCAGGGAAAGCCTTGCATATTTCAGCAGGACAATGCTAAACTGCATACTGCATCTGTGACAACAGTATGGCTTCGTAGTAGAAGAGCCCGGTGCTTAACTGCCCTGCTTACAGTCCACACCTTTCAGCAATTGAAAATACTTGGTGCATCTTGAAACAAAAAATACGACAAATAAGACCCAGGACTGTTGAGCAGTTTGCATCCTACAGCAGGCAAGAATGGGACAACATTTTTCTCCCAAAACTCCAGCAACTGGTCTCCTCAGTTCCCAGAAAAATTTGCAGAGTGTTTGTAAAAGAAGTGGGGATGCTACATCGTGTTAAACATGGCCCTGTTCCAACTTTTTAGAGACGTGTTGCTCTCATCAATTTTAAAATTACCTTATTTGTTTTCTTAAAATGGTAAATTTTCTCAGTTTAAACATTTGATATTGTGAATGAAATATGAGTTTATGAGATTTGCAAATCATTGCATTCTGTATATATGAAGATTTAACACAGTGTACCAACTTCTTTTGGAATTGGGATTTTAATTAGTGTGATTTCTGTAGATCTTCCACGCAAGGGCTAAGGCAATTGGCTTCTGCAACCCCTTATCGATCAGCCAACTAATCTATATAATTTGACTGTAGAGGCACAAAAAATATGCCAATCTGAATTGAAGATTTTCAAAACTGCCATATTGTTTTCATTTATACTGGGAGTAGAGAATGTAAAAAAGTTTTTCTTTACATGCAACGATATTTTTCCTTGGAAAATACATAACAATTATTGAACAGAAAAGGAACTTTTAAAAACAGAGTCAGCAAACTCAAAGAGGCAGCCTATTCATTTCTCTCATAAAAACGTTACGTCTATAACCTGATGTCATGCCAGTAACACACTGGATATCAAGCAAAGCTATGGTTTGTAAAGCAATTGTACTTATAAAACAGTTATTTATCATAAAGTAATAAGTAAAAGCAAAGGAGAATAAAAACACAAACAAAAAAGAAAAGAAAAATAGGCAAACAGTAATTAGTTCTTACTTATCCCCATTTTCATCCTGAGCTGCTGCTAGGTGGCGCTGTACTGCCAGTAACATTCTTACATCTCCTGACACAGCATAGTCAAAAAGGGAAGCAGCATGGTTCTTAGCAATGTGCATGGCCTTCTGCATGAAGAGACAACCTGTGAATAAAGACAGTAAAATATCTGTAAGATAGCAAAGATTGTAAATGTGACATAAGAGACAGCATCTGCTTTTACTATCTATGCTATGATTTTAATGTGATGTGATAACGTACAATGTCGGCTGCTACAACTTATTCCTTGTCTATGTCACAAAATATTTAAATACAGTCTGTAAAACTGGCAAAGATAAGACCTTTGTAAATGGTGATAAACTTGTAACATTTAAAAAATACAGATGACTGCAGTTCGAAATGTAAATGATTTCTCCAAAAAATTATTCTAGTTTGTTTTAGAGGTGTAGCTGATTTTGCACATCACAGTGACTCTACAGCTATTTTAATCCCTAAGAGATTGTTCGTAATGAAAACATCTTTCTTTGAAATCTACTAAATAAACTCCTGTGATATTGGTTATAGTTTTTGAATACAAAATAAACCATGCAACTCAACCCTTCTACTGTTGCCCTTAAAAAAAGATGGCACAATATCTAAAAAGCTGGCAAATATGGGTAAAACTGTAAACCTTGTGATTGGGAACTGTGCTGATTGGTTCCCAAATATTAAATAAAGATCAATCACTGTCAGTGACAGTGCAGCCTCCAGCTAGAAACATACAGTGCTGTGTACTACCAGCTGTCTAAATGGAATGTAGAATAATGTACCCTCTGCACAGGGATCGTTAATCTTCAAATTGCTGAAAGGAAAGGTTTAAGGTTGCTTCATTTTTCAAGTTCTGATTCTCTGCAGTTCCACAGGCCAGCTCTCTCGCCACCATGGCTGATACACTTGAAAGCTATTATTGTAAAATTTTCTTGGCAAATTCTTTTACAAGGTAGATCACCAGGTCTTTCTTCACCAGGTTCCCCTCAAAATACATACCAGACCTGAAGGGGGGACCCGCACACTGATTAAAAAAAAATGTTAATGTCAGCAATTCCTTTGGTTATATTCTGCTGTCAGCGTGGGATCCCGCTGACAGCGGTTGAGCCATGGTTGTTAAGGACACAGCGGCCTCTTGCTCCTTAACAACCTACAGTTTACTGGTTAAGGATGCTGCCGGCTGTCGGCTCCTTAACAAACAGCTAAAAATAAAAATGTATTTGGGGAAAAAACATTTCAGGTCACCTAAATACTGCATGCTATCTGCTTTAGTGAATGAAGCCCAGTGTCATAACATTATTAAACATTTTTTTAATTGAATTTGTCATTTGGAGCATTTTGTATGCATTGAATTTCTAATGCTTATTTTTATCCCTATGGGTTTTACAGTGAAGTTAGCAAATGTTTATAATTTTAATTAACCTATCACCTATATGGCTTTGGTGTTGTTTGGTAAGCACTTTGAGTTTGAAGTGAAGCTGTTAGGCACCCCAAATGCAGGAAAAATGTTGAGGAACCAGACATGAACCAGAATGAAAACAACAGTGGTGAACAGCTTTCTAAACTCTTTAATATTACCTGCTGGCTAACCAATTTAATTATTCTGAATGAAGCAAGTGATGTAAGCGCAAGTTGTTATTTATGGCTGACTGCCACAAAGTGCAGCAAAAGGAGCACTCTGAAAATTTCTTGAACAAGAAGTAGTTACCAGGACAGAAAGTGGGTAGAAATCCCTCTAAATGAGACAAAAATCAGATAGCAGTTCTAAGCTTTGACCACTGTACTCGAAACAACACAACAAAGCTTTGGCACAGGAATCTCTGTTGTGAAATCGGTATATTTATATTAAAAAAGGGATCTCTCTACAAGAAATCAGTACATTTAACAGCCTCTGCTTCATATATATTTACTTGAAACTTTGCAAATTTCTTCTCTTGTAAGTTCTGTTTCTTTGTCACCTTCTGTGAACAAAGCCTCCAGGCATTTCTGTTTATGCAGGGAACACATGGCTTCAGTCTCTTCCTGGACTCCTTCGCACTGGGGCTGTAATACTGTAAGTACACAAAGGATTTGCATATTATATCATGCTGCCCATAGTTTTTATGTATTTAACAGCTGTCACCTCTTAGAAAAAGATTTTATCTAATACAAATGGCAAAGAGTTAAGTTACCCTTAACAAGGAAGTTGATTTTATTGCCGGTAAAAGATGGGGTCTGTTTACATGCTTTATTATTATTATACAGTATTTATAAAGCGCCAATAGTTCGCTCAGCGCTGTACATTACAATGGGAGACAATACATGAGACAGTACAATAACAATACAATGCGATACACGAGGGGTTTGAGGGCCCTGCTCCATGGAGCTTACAATCTAGGAGGGGGGGGATAGTGATACAGGAAGAAAAGCTGTGGGGGATGGAGTGGTAGGAAGAGTGGAGGAGATCGGCAATTAGCAGGGGGCGGGGTAGGCTTCCCTGAAGAGGTGGGTTTTCAGGGTGCGCCTAAAGGAGAGGAGAGTAGGTGATAGTCTGATGGATTGGGGTAGGGAGTTCCAGTGGATGGGTGATGCCCTGGAGAAGTGCTGGAGGCGGGCATGGGAGGAGGAGACCAGGGAACTAGAGAGAAGGAGGTCTTGTGAGGAGCGGAGAGTGCGTTTTGGGTGGTATTTGGATATTAGGTCGGTGATGTAGTTTGGGGCGGTATTATGGACAGCTTTGTACGTCAGTGTAAGCATTTTGAATTTGATCCATTGGGCAATCGGAAGCCAGTGGAGGGATTGGCAGATAATGCACATCTGTGGTATTTGTATTTCTATGCCAATAGGAAAGTAAAGTACTGCTTATAACGTGCTTATTTAAAACAACTCTAAGTTATTGTATTAATCTGCAAATAAAAGCAAAGCATTAAAAATCTTTATCTTGATCTAAAATGTTATATCATATTATGTAAATATAAATCATTCACAGGACATACCTAACCCCACTGAAGTCCTCAAAATTTGTACCTTCTCAAAGCCCCTCTGTGGCCAAAATGCAATGGATCTTGGAGTACTCTTTCTTATTAGCTTGTCTATAATGCAGGGATACTTGCAATAAACAATATCGTTTCTAAATATCACATAGAATCCCAATGACTCTAGACCCAAGGGTATGTCTGCTGGTTATACAGGGGCCTAGGAAATCAACAAATATGATACTATAGTTATACAAAATACCCCGTTTATAGCTTGTGAACATATAATTAAAACATTTTTAAAAAGTTGGATTTCTGCACTGTCCTCAATGAAAAAGTCCTGTATCTCTAAAATTAAAGTGGTTGTAAAGGCCGAAGGTTTTTTACCTTCATGCATTCTATGGGGGCAGGGCAAAGCCGCAGCTCCATGTGTGAATGGACACATGAAGCAGCGGGTGCCCCCATAGCAAGCTGCTTGCTGTGGGGGCACCCAACAGACAGGAGGAGCCAGGAGAGCCTGCGGGGGACCTGAGAAGAGGAGGATCCAGCTGCTCTATGCAAAACCACTGCACACAGTAGGTAAGTATAGACATGTTATTAAAAAAAAAAAAATATTAACCTTTAGAATCGCTTTAAGATGACCAATCACTATAAAAAATATCTATAGAGGATGCCAAAAAAAAAAAATCATAAAATATGACACAGATCGCTTATACAACTCATATGTAACATGGTCACCTAAATACTGATACAATCCTAATAGCTTATAAAACTAGAAAGCCATGCTACTTATCTGGAGAAAAGAGAAGTTCTGTTATGTGATGTATGCAAAAAAATCCCAAATTGAAACAAGGTACACAAAGCTAAATAAATCCCCACTAACAAATAGAAAAGAAAGACGTGAGATGTCAGACGGCATGGCTTGTGCAGTGGTGCAAGGCTGAGGCCTTCTTATACTGTACATAGTAACCACATAGATGGATTGGGTTGAGCAGTGATTTTTCGAAGAAAGACGCAAGAGACACAGAATTGTTCATAGATGTTACTATTCATTGTTTTTTTAACATCTCCCGAGAGATTTTTTTAAGAGTATCTCTATGATTGTAAAACTAATTTAGTGGTTGAAAAACATACTGTATACAAATGTCAAATTCTGTAAAATGCCCTTCCAATGCTGTGAGGGGATTACAATGTTCAGTATTTTTTTTGTCTTTTTTTTATGCTTATTAAAGTATAAAAGTTGTCTGCTGATGTAATAACCCAACTCAGTGCTCCCCCATGGTTAAGTGTAAAAAATTATTTTAAAACTATGATTTCATTTTTTTAGTCAGGTAAACATAAAAACTGCATTATGTATTCAAAGCCAACAGGAAGGGGAGCTATAAGCTCTTTTTAAATGTTTTCCTTTATCTTCTTAGCTTCGAGGCTTTTTGGCAATTCCAACCATAGTTTTACCAATTTGTGATATTTGAAAGTGGGTAAAGTAAAAACGGGTTTAAAAAATTATTCTCTCAAAAAGTCCGGACTTATATGTCAACCACGACCCTCTCTCTTCATATTTTGCCACATCAGGCGATTCTTGGTATGGGCATATCAGGGTATTCACCAAGTGCTAGAATGGGTGATCCAAAAAGTGCCTCTGAAGCTCAACTTGGTAAAAAAACAGATCAGTGCAACATTTTCCTAACTGCAAAATCTATACATCTGCAAGTTGGACTATATTTAAAGTAGAACTCCTGATTCTGTCATTCCAGGAATACAAGCATAGCATTTGACAGACAATATTTTTAGAAAACCACAAGATGCAGGAAGATGAAGCTTATAACATCAAACAGATTTAGACACCTTGGGTGAAAAAATCACCTCCCTGCTTACTTTGAACTATCATGTCTATCAATAAAATCTTATATTCCCCTATGGAAGCTAGGCCAGCCATTCAATAGAAATTCTTCTACCTCCCCCTACCAGGGTCCCTCTTACCTCCCCCTGACTTTCTTCTTCTGTACTCCACTTTCCTTCTCTCTCCTCCCTTTTAATTTACTTTCCCTGACATTATTTTTACTGTTTTGTTACTACTACCCCCCTGTCCTTCCTGTCTCTTTTCTACCCATCATTCTACCCAATATTCAAGATATTCATTTCAAGAGCATGTGCATCAACCCCTTAAGCAAAGAACACTCAGTGTATATGCCTTAACCTCTAAATTTCCTTTTCCCAGCATATAATCATTAAAGCAGAGCTATACTCACCTTCAGTTCAGCGATGCAGAGTCCTCAAGCTTCCAGAAGGCAACTGACATCTTCAGGCGGCCGGGTATTGATCGCTGACTGCTTTCATTGGCCGGGCTGAGATGACACCTGCACATGCTGACAGTTCAGTCATCTCGGCATTGCCAAATTTGTACAATGAGTTGTGCGTGTGCAGCTCACTGTACAGGGGTGGGCAATCAGGTAAGTAACTTTAATGCAGAAGAGACATAGCATGCATTAAACTCCTTGCCCATTTAATTTAACCCTTTAGTGTCCAGTCCCAGCTATGGTGTACTAACCCCTCAGCACTCATTTCTCTGTGCATATATGATAACCTCTCAATGCCCAGTCCTCAACCCATAAGCATTATCTTCTCAGTGTCAGGAATGGACTCAGCACTGGTGGTGGGACTCACCTGCCGTGTGGGCTGCAGTACCAGAGCTGACCAGCGGGTGCTCTCAGCAGCCAGAAGCTCACTTCTGCAATCAGCCAAACCTGGGGCTGATTGCAGAAAGGTGTATTTAAGGCATGACCAGGCCTGTGATCTGGGCCTTGGTGTATGTTTTCCCATGAGCCTCTGTACCTGGTATCCTGTGTTCCTGCTTCGTTGCTGACCCTGCTTGATCCTGGCCTCTGCTGACTGTCTCCTGCTGAACCCCTGGCTTGCCTGACCATCCTTCTGCCTGATCCCCTGTACCGCGCTGCCCGTAAGTTACTGAACCTGGCTTGTGACCCTGACCATTCTCTGCCTGCTCCTTTGGTACCTTGCTGCCTGCACGTTGCTGACCTGGCTCGTCTGACCACGCCAACTACTCCGCCATCCATCCATCCTGCACGGATCCAGCCGTCCCTGCTCACACCTTCTGCCTCTTCACATCAGGCTTTCTACCTGCACATACCTCTGGCGGATCCCTCTACCACTAGCAGGTGTACTCAGGGGCCGCGACCTGGTTCCTGTCTGCTCCAAGTCCATCCCCACCATCAGGGGCCCTGGTGAATAAGCAGACTGGGACTTAGACTCCGCGCCCTGGGGAATCCTGTCCTGAGGACCGCTAGAGGTACCACCAAACGGTCATTACAGAACCCTACGGCCGGCCTGACCGCTCCACCTCTCCAGCCCTGACTACGCCTGTATTCCTGCACCTCCTAAGATTAGTGGAAGGTTGGTTTGCTCACTGTGCGTTATATATATATATATATATATATATATATATCTGGGTGGCTAATAATAAACTGTATTATACTGTACCTGAGACCTGCGTTTCCCTGTGTCAGTCCACACCTTTCTGGTCATTCCTAGATTCCTGACACTCAGTGTCCTCAGGTATGTATGCTAACCTCTCAGCACCCAGTATCCAACTCATGTAGGTTAATCACCTCAGCACTCAATACCCAATGTATGTGATGTAACAACTCAGAACCTATTCTTCTTGTTACTTGCATTAATCTCCCATCTGGCAGTACCAGTACATGTATAATAACCCCTCCATGCCCATCCCTAAAACTGGAACACTACTGCTAGCTGATTTAATTGATGTTATTGTACTATCTCAAATATCTTTCCAAAAATGTTTATTCTGTTGAAACCACTTAACAACAACATTCTAAATGTACTGTACATTACCAACTTGCTGAATATAATGTCCAAGAAATATCGTTTTGATAAAATGCGGGCCAGCATTAGTTTGGGTGTGCCATACCTGTGTTGGAGTTCATTGTGCCGACATGAAAATTTAGTCCTCCATAATTATTGGTGTAGTTGAATGTGGAATAATTATAACCTGAAAATAAAACAATTGGAGGTTAAATAATGTATCTGCCTCCACTGCCTTTTATGGTACCAAGACAATTATAAACCCTTATTTTGTACACCAATTTTCATGCACTGCTATTTTATTGAAATACCTATTTCTGAATATTCAGAAAAAACAAGTATAAAAACATGTACAATGGGAATAAAACAGTGAAAAATTAAATAGTTTATCTGCTTACACTGCCCATTATGGGACATGGACAATTTTATACCCTTAATTTTTAGATCTTTTTTATACATCAAAATTTTATAGCTATTTCTGAGTATTCAGAAAAAAATAGTATAAAATCATGTAAAATGGAAAAAATAGTTTTATTAGCAGAAAAGCCATCACTAATAAATTCTGCATAATTAATCTGCTATTTCAGCTACTGTACCAAATATGCTTTATTTTAATATAAAACTTCTTATGACTACACCGCATTCCAAATTATTATGCAAATTCTATTTAAGTGTCACAAAGATGAAATATTTTGTTTTTCAGTTTAACTCATGGATGGCATTGTGTCTCAGGGCTCTTTTGATCACTGAAAACAATCTTGGACACCTGTGATAATTAGATTGGCAGGTGAGCCCAATTTAAGGAAAAACTACTAAAGGAGGGTGTTCCACATTATTAAGCAGAGCACCATTTTCAAGCAATATGGGGAAGAAAAAGGATCTCTCTGCTGTCGAAAAGAGTGCAATAGTTCAATGCCTTGGACGAGGTATGAAAACATTAGATATTTCACGAAAACTTAAGCGTGATCATCGCACTATTAAGAGATTTGTGGCTGATTCAGAGCACAGACGGGTTCGTGCAGATAAAGGCACATTGAGGAAGATTTCTGCCAGATCCATGCATTGGATCAAGAGAGCAGCTGCTAAAATACCATTACATAGCAGCAAAGAGATATTTGAAGCTGCTGGTGCCTCTGTAGTCCCACGGACATCAAAGTGTAGAGTCCTCCAGAGTCTTGCAACTGTGCATAAACCTTCTATTGGGCCACCACTAACCAATGCTCACAAGCAGAAACGGCTGCATTGGACAGAAAAATACATGAAAACTAATTTTCAAACAGTCCTGTTCACTGATGAGTGCCGTGCAACCCTGGATGGTCCAGATGGATAGAGTAGTGGATGGTTGGTGGATGGCCACCCTGTTCCAACAAGGCTGCGACTTGAGCAAGGCTGTGGCGGAGTCATGTTTTGGGCTGGAATCATGGGAACAGAGCTGGTCGGCCCCTTTAGGGTCCCCGAAGGTGTAAAGATGACCTCTGCAAAGTATGTGGAGTTTATGACTGACCACTTTCTTCCCTGGTACAGAAGGAAGAACTATGCTTTCCGTAATAAAATCATCTTCATGCATGACAATGCACCATCTCATACTGCAAAGAATACCTCTGCATCAATGGCTGCTATGGGGATAAAAGGAGAAAAAGTCATGGTGTGGCCTCCATCCTCCCCTGACCTCAATCCTATTGAGAACCTTTGGAGCATCCTCAAGCAAAAGATCTATGAGGGTGAGAGGCAGTTTACATCCAAACAGCAGCTCTGGGAGGCTATTCTGACATCTTGCAAACAAATTCAAGCAGAAACTGTCCAAAAACTCACAAGTTCAATAGATGCAAGACTTGTGAAGCTGTGATCAAATAAGGGGTCCTATGTTAAAATGTACCGTGACCTGTTAAAATGTTTAAAAAGTTAAAATGTTGTTAAAAGTTTGATTGAAATAGCTTTTGATTTCAGTAAATATGCTGAAAACTTAACAAATGACAATTTTCAGTTCTTTACAACCTATAAAGTGTTTTGAAACTTACTGTGCGTAATAATTTGGAACAGTGCATTTTAAGTGTTTTATGTTTAAAAAAAATACTGTTATCATTAGGAGGTTTGTTCAATAAAATTGTACTCCTAATAGTTGATAACATGAGAATTATGCTGACTGTTATTTACATAAATTATTTAGGTAAATGAGAAAAATATAATTTACATAATAATTTGGAACACGGTGTATATTGCATTATAACATATACTTCCCTTTTTTTGAACAGGCCATGATAAATATTTGTGGTCATAATAGACAATGTTTTCTCCTTGCAAAGGGATGGTAGATATTTGCACCTTTGAAAGTACATAATATGATTGCATTTATAGTAAAGAGAAAATAATTTAAACTACTTTGTTTCTAGAAGAGGGCTAGGTTTAAAGAATCATGTAATATCAACAGGTCACCAAAAATATCAGCAGAGATTTGGTCAAAATTGGCTGTGATCTAGACTACCATTGCTGGCCTCCTTTAAAATGCTAGTTGCCTGGCTGTGTCTAGATGCTATACTTCGCAATCAACTGGAAAAAATGCAGGAAATAAAAGTCACAGAGACGTCAGTATCCCTTATCTGTTTACCTAAAGTGGAACTCTAGGAATATTTTTTTTTTGTAAATGAACAGTGTTCAGTTTGCCTCAATGTAAATATTAATATCTGATATCAGGAAGGCTACCGGGAATGCTGAAAATCACTGTAGAAGTCTGTGCTACATACACGGATATCTGTGATATTTTGAGTGTTGCTCAAGTAGCTTCTTTTCTGCTCACTTAAAGTGGTTGTAAAGGCTCAAGGTATTTTACCTTCATGCATTAGACTATGCATGAAGGTAAAAACCCCTGTGTGCAGCAGCTCCCCCAGCCCCGCCAATACTTACCTGAGCCCCATCACGATCCATAGATGTGCACAACAGCCTCGGCTTTCCCGGGTCCCTGCCTTCTCACTGGCTGAGACAGCAAGCAGGAGCCATTGGCTCCCGCTGCTGTCAATCACAGCCAGTCAGCCAAAGAGGAGAAAGGGGGTGGGGCCAAGCCGCGGCTCCTTGTTTAAACGGACACACAGAGCAGCAGCAGCTTGGGAATTTGATGCCCCATAGCACGTTACTTGCTATGGAGGCATAAAGGAAGAGCCAGAAGCGCTGGCAGGGGACCTGAGAAGAGGAGGATTCAGGCTGCACTGTGCAAAACCACTACACGGAGCAGGTAAGTATAACATATTTGTTGTTATTTTACAAAAAAAAAAATTAACCTTTAGTATCGCTTTGACACAGGGGGTTGCTCACTCAGCATCTCTGCCATTTAGAGAACCTCTTGTAATTTTTTCAATGAATAAAAGGTGTTCCCTGATTGGACGAGGTGGAGAGGGAGGGGGATGTCAACGATCTCCACCTCATCCAACCAGAGAATGCCTTGTATACACTGAAAAAATACAAGGTGTTGTCTGAATGGTGGCAGTGTTGAGCAATTGACCCACTGTGTTCAGTGTGCAGAGGGGAAAAACACTCAGAAGGTCAAGGCTACCAATTTACATAGTGTGGATTACTACAGTGATTTTCACCACCCCAGCAACCCTCCAGATAACAGACATGGGTACTTACACTGGGCCAAGCTGGACCAATGTAATTTTGCAAAAAGATCATTCCTGGAGTTTGGCTTCGGGGCTTTTGTTTGAAGTTGGCACCCCAGCATGTACTGAATCCAAAGCATCAGCATGATAGCTAGACATTTACCATTTTCAAAAGCAGCAGTTAGCAATGGCAACCTACATAGTTGCAAAAAAAGTTAATTTCAGTGAATACTATTTTTTTTCAGACAATATAAAAGATAAAATTTATTTTTTCTATATGCAAATATAAACTATAGTTGGAGATACAAGGTGAAAAAGGCATTTGTGATCTTCATTTCATCAATTCTATCCATTTGTATAACCTTTTCTAGTGCAACGCAAGACAGCACCCAAATCCTCTAGGTCTATTGCCTTTCAATAAGAAATCGTCTGATGATCCTTGATGTGTTTAGTGCTCTAAACTTCAGAATGTGGACTTGAAAGAACTGCACCAACTGAGCTGTCTACCAACATACAGGATGTTAAGTTACTATAAAGGTATCCTGTGAGCTGTATTCTTCAGTATGTGGAAAGATTATATTTTAATTGGCAAGGTTCAGGAGGGCAAATGTTAAATCAACAGGTAAAAGCAGAAAGTCCCTAAAGCAATCCTTTCTTTTTTACCGATGTTTATAGACACCGTTGCCAGATATGAATTATTCAGTCTATAAACTTGCCCGTACATGATCACTCTGCTCTAATCTGTCTCTGATACCCAGTTGTATGCCTGCTGGGTGCTGCCATCTAGCCTATCACACAGCATATAGAAAGGAGAAACACCAAATTATCCATCACAGCCCACATGTCAAAGACATTTTAGACCCCTGGTTCTTAACACACAACATTCCATGCTCAATGTGCAGCCCACTGTGCTCCAGACACCGATTTGGAGCACAAGGAGTTAAAGACTGAGTGCCAGTGCCTTCAGAACATCAGCCCATGTGAAACTGCCATAAGAGGATTGCTATCAGACTAGACTTTGCAAGGTTTGCTTCTGCTTTACATCCTTGGCTGTAGGCTCCTTCCTAGACTGATGCTGTCTCTTTTTTTTGCCGTACTTTATTATTTAAATCTATTCTGAATTTTAAAGAGACACCAACACAAGCCTACAACCAGTGTCAAAAGTTGCTTTTTTATACAAAAATAAAGTATCACACACTAAATATAAGTTGAAGTGTATTGTATAGGTTGATATTAGCCATAATACTCTGCTCTTGTGAATTAAATGCCATGGGAAAAGATTAAACTGTACAGCATTTAATCATTCAGAACCAATCTGAAATCAATGGTGCTTGCTGGGATCTTTTTATAAAAATGCAGAATGCTAAAAAAAAAGTGCAAATGGTATAACCTTGACAAAATCAGTGAAATACATGTTTATTTATATAAGTCCTATCCAGTTGTGCTGCTCTATGAAAGCAATAGGTAGAGTATGCTTTAAAAGGCATCTTGTATCGCAGGCTTTGTGATCCTGAGATTATATGCATAGCATACAAGTCCATTTCTAAATTATATTCAGTCATCACATAACTGCATGTCACAGCTTGTTGAGCCAAAGTTAGGTACAGATGTAACAGCCAATCAGAAAACAAAATCCTTTTCATGTCGGGTAATGTGCAAGTCATTGTAGACTGGTTATTTTTATTGTGAATTCTCAAGTAGTACAAGCTACAGCATGCAGCACATAGTAAGATCATTAAAGAAACGCTTTCAGTAGTAGGAACAGCATTTACATTACCTGCAGCCTTCAATTCTAGGATTCAAGTTTACTACCAGCTCTGGCAATATTAAGCTACTGTATCATAAAAAAACATAACCAGATGAATCCTCATTAGGGGAAAATGAAATTCAATACAGGTAATGTTTGTGAGTACTTTCCAATCACCCAAATAGTGTTTGACAAATTCTTCTGGCCCTTTGGTAAACTAAAACAAATGTCACTCCCAATCAGGGGCGTATTTACCACAAGGCAAGCAAGGCATTTGCCTAGGGCAGCATTTTTCAGGGGGGCAGCACCGCTCCCCTGGAAGAAGGGACAGAAGAAGGGACACATGCGGTTTGGGGACCAGGTGGGATCTGAGAGAGACTACGCGCTTCTTGACTCTCGTTCCCGGGGATGTCCACAGCTATGAAGGTGAGTGTCATCCTCTCTCTTGCTGGGAGGGGAGTGGCTGGTGTATGGGGGCGATGGTAGTGGAAGGCTCTCTCGGGTGGAGAGGGGGGCAGGGGTGTTGTTGGTCAATGTCAGGCTCTCTCTGGGGGGGGGGTGGCAATTACGTGTTGCCTAGGACAGCACAAAACCTTAATACACCACTGCTCCCAATGGCTACACTTAAGCTGACCATAGATGGTTAGAATCGTTCAGCAGGAACGAGCCGAGATTTGAACCATGTATGGACAAGCTGAATGTACCCAAGTTGACCGATTGATCAATTTGGTTACAACCAGCCTGCCGGACTTTACATGCGATTATTGCTAGTAGGTGTTATAGCGGGGATGACTTTCCCTGTGGGGAAAACACAATGGCTCTGTGGGAGGGATTCCCCTGTCAACAAAGACTGTGCTGATAAGGGAATTTCATTCCTGTAACCCATGGTTGTAGGAAAGAAAATCGCTCCGTCTATGTCCAGCCTTACACCCACCGTGGGGATGGGGGAGTTCTTTGTACTAACGATTTGAAAACATACATGGGTAATAAGATTTGCACTTCTGTGTAAGATAATATGGTACCTTTCCTTTGAAACACCATACAGTCAGGTCCATAAATATTGGGACATCGACACAATTCTAACATTTTTGGCTCTATACACCATCACGATGGATTTGAAATGAAACGAACAAGAGGTGCTTTAACTGCAGACTGACAGCTTTAATTTGAGGGTATTTACATCCAAATCAAGTGAACGGTGTAGGAATTACAACAGTTTTCATATGTGCCTGCATCAATTTCAGAGTGCAGGGGTCTTTATTTGTAGCCTGCTGCCTGGGGAACCAATTGTTCAGCTGGCACTGGGACCGAATTATAAAGAAAAAAAATAAGATATATACAAATCAGCGGTTTGCTGTGCCCTCAGTTTACTTATATACTTCTGAGACTTAAATTGGGATTTAAGTGCAAAGACCCTACCCTAAAAGCTATAATAAACATCTAAACTGTGGTTCACAACGGTGCGACTTGTCATGCAGTTTGACAGTTTCAAATCACAGGACAAGTCGCACCCTATTTTGTGCCTATCGAACCTTTCAAATCGGTGCGACTCCAACTTTCATTGTGACACTGATTTTGAAAAAAGGTTCCTGCACTATTTTTAGCAATTTCATGTGCGACTTACATAGACATCTGTGCACGAAGTCGCACAGATGTCAGGCAAGCTGCACATAAAATCACATTGACCAGCCGCAAGCCGCACATAAAATCGCACTGACCAGTGGCTGTGAAATCGCGCTACTTCAAGTGAAGTAGAGTGATTTCAAAGCCGCATTCAGTGTGAACCGAGGCTAAGTGTTTTCTCTTTTCAACATCTACTAAACATTAAATAATCAATATTCCTTGGAAAAGGTCAATTATTATTTTAAAAACTATTATAGAAATAGAGAAGAGTCTTAAAGGATCATTATCCAAAGTCATTTAACAAAACAAAGGTGGAAAATATGGTTATGTTTACCACCACCAGATCCGGATGCTCCTGCACCACCGTACATGCTGCCACCACCTCCTCCACCACTGCCGCTTCCTCCAGATCCTGCTCCACTTCCACCAAACCCATCAGAAAAGTTGGGCATAAGTTTTAGACGCTTTCGAAGAACTTCTTCTTTGTCTAGTGAGAACAGATTATGTTGTTAGTAAAGCAATACTGAAAATATCAGAATGAAAACAATGCTCAATTCAGTGCTTATAATTGCTAGGAGGCTCTATGATAAAAAATAATGATATAAAAAACACCCACAATGTGCTAGAAACATGGAGACCATGCCCAAGCTTTGGGTCACAAGATAAAGCTCAGGGTCAGTGTTTCCTTATTCATTGCAAAGAAAAGTTTGTTTTTTTTTAACTTAAAGTGGAACAGTGGATAAAATAAAAAATGACATATTTGATGCAGTGTGTCACTATTTTCCTGAGTACTCCTTCCCCATAATGTAGCTTTATTACCTGTTGTTCCTGCACAACAACAGTGTTACCCTGTGGGCAGGGTAGTCTTAGATGGAATTTAAGTAGGAGACAAGTAAGTAGTTACAGCTACACACTTTACTTTCTTTAAGAAAAAAGGGCTTGAACCATATGAACAAATTACTGATTTAGGAACTCCCAGCAGTGTTATATAAAGTTGTCCCATACCTGCAACTAAAACATTTGCTGGACAGCTTGGCCTGTTAAGAAGTGGAAAAATGACAGAAATACTGGTGGAACCAACAGGTAATAAAATTGTATGTCTGTGTTACTGTTATTGTCAGACTGCATCATATATAATTAATGTCAGATTCACACTATTAGACAATTGAAGTGAATATTCACATTTTGTGAGTCAAAATTCTCAATTCCTTTAGTGAATTAGTCCCAGCAATACAGGCTATACGATAAGCAGAAAGAAAGAAATCTCATTCAGCTCAAACCTTTTTTGAAGAAGGGGAAAAAAACAGGCATTAGTTAGCCACTATTGCCAAATCCCAGATGCCTCCTGCTTATATATCAGCTTAGTCAAACTTTTAGAGACATACTCCTTCCGGAGTTACTTTCTAAAATAAGGACAGTGCTGACCAATCAAAAGCAGTCTAGCCCGTACGGTCATCCCTGCACGTAGAAGAAAGAAATCTGCGGGGATTTCAAATCCCCAGACCTGTGAAGCAGCTTTTACTTCTGCGACAGCATGGGATCATTGCAGTGAGGTTTCCCGTACCGGTCCTGTGTGAACTCAAGCTATGACAAGTCCTGGTTCACACAGGAGCAGTGGGGAAACCGCATGCAATTTGGACAGGAATCCCACCACATTCCTGTTCAAATTGCATGCAATTCTTTGCGGCACAATTTGCATCCATATATTTTGTACTGACGCAAATCGCACTTCAAAGTATCAGTTTCGGCTCATCCCTACATCAAACCAATCTTGGTTTGATCAGATGCTTTGGAGTCCAGAGGAAAGATCTAGGATCTAATAGACCCCAGATCTCTCCATAAAGAGGACCTGTCACAGCCCATGCTATCACAAGGGATGTTGATCATGCATTGTGATAACAATAACATTGATCAAAAAACAACCAAAGGTTCAGTTAAGAATGAGAGCAATAATTCTAGCATTAAACCTTGTGTAACTCTAAACTGGTAACTTGTAAAGGCATTAAAAGCATCAACTAAAAATTGCAACAACAACCATTTCATTCTCTAGAGCACAGGTGTCAAACACAAGGCCAGAGGGCCAAATCCGGCTCTCCAGGTCATTTCATGTGGCCCTTGCACCTCTCCTGCAGGTACTCGCTTGTCTCCACCCCCAACTTGTCTCAGCAGTTGGCAGCAGAGAGGAGAATAAAACTCCTCTGCCACATCCTGCACCTCTCAGTGCAGCTGCAACACCCCCTCATCTCTGCCTCCCCTGGTCTCAGCATTCAGCAGACTCTGGTAACAGACTCCACTCCTCCTCTGGTCTTCTTCCAGACCCTGCACTTTCTGCTTTCCTGCTCTGCCCCCCAAGGGGGGTGCGGGGGGGGGGGGGTGCACGATGATGTTAGGGAGGGTGTGGGAATCTTGACAGCTGATGTAAGGGGAGGTTTGGATAATCTAGTCGTACAGATACAACCGGCCCTTTGAGGGCAACCATAATGCTGATACGGCCAGTGATGAAATGGAGTTTGACACCCCTGTTCTAGAGCCTCTGCTTAAAAAAAAAAATCACAATATTTGGGGGTTCTAAGTAATTTTCTAGCAGAAAAATGCTGATTTTTACATATACAGTACGACAGAAATGTCAGAATTGGCCTAGACTGAAACTGGTTAAAACCTGACTCTGACTCACACAAAATAAAAAAGAAAGTTTTGAAATGATAGATACTTTACATATGTCACCCGCAATGAGCAGACACCTGATTCATCTGCATCTTACTTGATGAATTGCTCCCATGTATGAATAATATACCGAGTGAATCAATTTTACTCAAACCTGTTTTCACTTTAAACACTCCATTATTTTTCAGATCAGTTAAAAAAAAAAAAGGAATGAAATTCACCCAGAACTTAATTTGTGATATGAAGAAAATGGTCTGGGGTGAAAAGATTCCATTAGTTCTGTTATATGTTTAAAGAAGACATCCACATGTGATAATTGTTCACCTTAATACTATATTACACAAAACCAGTTTCATTGGATCACACACCAAATTTTAAGGGCCGGTTCACACCATAGAAAAGCAGTCTGGATGCGTTTCTGGATGCGCAATTTTTATGCATTTTTGATGCATTCCAGATGCTTCTTTTCCTCCTTTTTTGGGTCATTTGGGGTTCAGTGCATTTTTTATATGTTCTGGTGCGTTTTTGATGTGTTTTACCACGTTCTAGTACAGTTCTGTGCTGGAAAAATGCAGCATGCTCTACTTTTTTCTGGGACCGGAACACACTGGAACTGCAAGCACTGATGTGAACCATGCCATTGACAAGCATGTAAAGTACTTTCAGTGCGTTTTGGATGCAGAAAAAAAAAATGCACTGGAACGCATTTAGTGTGGAAAAAGCCCTAAGGCAATGATAAAAACTTGCAGTGGGAGAAGAGAGACAGAGAATATTCATTCTGAATCCTTACATTGAAGTTGCAAACAGAAATCTGATTTTATACACTAGATGCCCCCACTCAAAATAACATCTTACATGTGGATGGAGGTCTTCATAATTCCAAAGCTGGTCTGGTCCGGTCCCAGGCTAAGCTGTCAGTGATGGCTTCTGTGTAGCGCAGAGGCAGCTGACAATGGATGCCCAATAATAAGTCTATAGGTGACATCATCTCCTCTTCATTTCCCAGCCGCTGTCTGGGACCGCACCGGAACAGCTTCAGAATAGGTAAGTACAGGAATCTTTTCCTTACGGGGTTATATAGATTAGGCTTCGAATGGGGCTGGGAGTAGGTTTAGTGTTAGTGAAGTTTTGGCTAAACTTTCACTTTAAATAGGAATGAAAAGCACCTGTTATCTCAAAGCCGCTCAGACTCATCATTTCACAAGATGTTGATCATGAAATAGGTATATCATTATAAGGCTCTGTTTGTTTGAAGTACCTGTTAAGTAACTCTGACAATCTACAAATGTAGCAAGAGGAATATGGCCAATGGCAGTTTTACTGAGCTTGTTTACTGACTGAATCACACTTTATATATATATATTGGATCACAAATGACACAAAACTGATCAGTGAAACCCTCTGACGCCTTGACTCCCACAACATTCCCTTTGTACCAACATTTCAAGAAGGTAAATGCTATCAGGTTTAGCGATGAATACTTGACAGTTGATGTGGTCATACAATTTCTTACCTTTAATTTCTGGATAATACAGAAATGGTTTGGGCTCACTGGTCTCAAAATCCGATTTTCTCCGAAGTTGAACAAACACAGAAACTGGTTTTACAATATTGGGATCCCTGTATTTAGGAGTTTTAAATACAATGGCAAACTAAAGGAGACCAAAACATTGTTACTGTAAGGATAATAATTCTTAAACTGAATTATAGACAAATTAAATAAAAAAACCTTTTTCATCCAGTTTATATATTCATTTAAACAATTTTTACATTTATTTTATATATAACCTGAATCTGTTTTTATCTTAGCCTCTTGCCATTCCCTGCACAGCATCAGCAACACTGGAGAGAGAGGGACAGTGCTATAATCCAAACAGAGATCTACTGCTTTGTCACTGCTGTCAACATAACACATAAGCATGCTCACAGGAGGGAAGAGAGATGACCTCTTCATTAGTCTTCTGGTCCTTTATTATCTAGTTATAGAATGCATCATGGACTAAGCTAAAATGCTCAATTGCATTGTAGTATGCAGAGAGTATGATCTGCTAATGCAGTCTGGCAGAAGTGGCTGATCACAGGCCATCTAACAACATCACAGGCAGCAGTAAAACATGTCAGAGGTTCAAACCCTTCCCCAATTTATCTAAAACTAAGGAAAAAAGTTTTGACCTGAAATACACCTAAAGATACATCCAGATATCAGAAGGCATAATATAACCATCAATGTTTCAAACACTCTAACAGGACATAAGTATGCATGTTCATATTTTACAGTCATCGCCATACTGTTATTTTGAGAGATTCATATTGTCAAAAGTCCAATTCTTTAACCTGTTTTTTATGCAGTACTGTACTTATATATTAAAAAGACTAGTGTTCTTTGTCTTTTGGGAAGCAACTGAAAAGATGCATTTAAAATGCATATTAGTCTGCCTGCTAAATAAATGGTAGAGGTGACACTAAGAGGCTGGTTTAAAATTGTGGATCCACATTGTTTCAAATGAATTCTCTGTTTTATTTGCATTGTGTGATGTATGCTGCTCTTTGCAAACTAATGGTTACCTGAGTGTGGTGCATGAGATGAGACCCATAAGACAGAAAAAGTATCAGTTTTTTGTCCTGTTTCTCCTTGAAAAGATGAATACCCTCATCATGCTCAATGACCCCTGGCCCCTGACCTGCACTGCCGGTTAACATATATGCGGATTGGATGAGGTTTGAACTGCATCCCCAATCCACATAACATGTGAAATAACATTGCCCCCAGAGTCTGCTGTGCCTGTTCACTTATGTCCGGTGCAATGGCATTGCGGATTCAGTAAGGTTTGAAAAAGAGTCATATATAGGATAACTGAGCAGTGCCGTCAGGTTCAAATGTGGATTACAGGCTATTGACTTCTATGGGAACTGTTTCTAAACTGCACACTTTTGTGAACAGGATAAAATCCTGACATAATCCTGACCTGAACCTGATGTAAACCTGACATGAACCACTGAACAACTATTGTCATTTAACTGTGAATCCTGAGCTTTAATCCACACTGCACATGTGTGAATCAGCTCTCGGAACCCTAAAACATTTCCCAGCCTGCACTGAGTATGTGTTTTTCTGCCTCTGATGTCTAAATCCATACCTAGCTTGATCATAACCCCTGATTTCTATTTTGTCCCTAGTTGTGATTTGATTCTTATCTGGTTTATTTAGCTGAGATTTTAATTTCTAAGATGATATACAGTTATGTACATATATATTTGGACACAGGCACAATTTTCATACTTTTGGCTCTGTATACCACTAGAATAAATTAAAACGAAACAATTCAAATGCATTTGAAGTGCAGACTTTCACCTTTAATTCGTAAATATCAAGTACAAATGATAGGAACTGCACCATTTTTATACACAGTCCCTCCGTTTTCAGGGGCTCAAATGTAATTGGACAAATGAATATAATTGTTAATAAAAAAATGTTCATTTTTAATAATTTATTGAGAATTCTTTACTGGCAATGACTGCCTGAAGTCTGGAACCCATGGAAATTACCAAAGACTGGGTTTCCTCCTTTCTGATGCTTTGCCCGGCTCTAACTGCAGCTGTCTTTAGTTGTTTTTTGTTTGTGGGTCCTTTTGCCTTTAGTTTTGCTTTCAGCAAGTCAAATGCATGCTCAATTGGGTTGAGATCAGGTGATTGACTTGGCCATTGTAGAATATTCCACTTATTTTCCTTCAAAAGCTCCTGGGTTGCTTTTACAGTGTGTTTTGGATCATTGTCCATCTGTACTGTGAAGCGCCGTCCAATCAAGTTTGCTGCATTTGGCTGAATCAGGGCTGACAGTATATCTCTAAACACTGCAGAATTCATCCGGCTGCTTCTGTTTTCTGTCACATCATCGATAAACACCAGTGACCCAGTGCCACTGGAAGCCATGCATGCACATGCCATCACACTGCCTCCACCATGTTTTACAGATGACATTGTGTGCTTTGGATCAAAAGCTGTCCCTAGCCTTCTCCACACTTTTTTCTTCCCGTCATTCTGGTACAGGTTAATCTTAGTTTCATTTGTACAAAGAATGCTTTTCCGGAACTGGTCTGTTTTTTTTAGAAGTTTTTTTGTCAGCCTAATCTTGCTTTTCTATTCTTCAGGCTTATGAATTGCTTGCATCTTGTGGTAAACCGTCTGTATTTGCTCTCGTGAAGTCTTCTCTTGATTGTAGACTTTGACAATGATACGTCCACCTCCTGGAGAGTGTCCTTCATTTGTCTGGATGTTGTGAATGAGCTTTTCTTTACCATAGAGAGGATCCTGCGATCATCCACCACTGTTGTCTTCTGTGGACATCCATGCCTTTTTATGTTGCTGAGCTCACCAGTGCATTCTTTTTTCCTCAGAATGTACCAAACTGTTGATTTTGCCACTCCTAATGTTGCTACTATCTCTCTGATGGATTTGCTTACAATGGCCTGTTTCACTTGCATGGACAGCTCCTTTGAACGCATGATTCCAAATGCAAATACCACACTTAGGATCAACTCCAGACCTTTTACCTGCTTAACTGATGAAGAACTAATGAAGGAGTAGCCCATACCTGGCCATGAAACAGCTTTTGATTCAACTGTCCAATTACTTTTGGTCCCTTGAAAAAGGGGGGATGGCTACTCTTAAGAGCTGTAATTCCTAAACCCTTCCTCCAATTTAGATGTACATACCCTCAAATTAAACCTGAGAGTGTGCACTTTCAGTCCATATTCATTATACAGCTATGGCTTCAATATGTTTTGGTAAATACCTGAAAAGATCTAAAATTATGCCTGTGTCCAAATATATATATGCACTTAACTGTAATTATTGGCTGTCTGTCTGATCTGATTCTGGGCTGTTTAACTGATTATGTACTTTGATCACTGGCTTTCTGGACCTTGGCCATGCTCCTTTTCAACCACTTTTCTCTTTTGTTTGTATGCTGAACTCTGTTTCTAGTCCAGGCACACTACACTGGTTAGTATATGAAGTGGTTACTTTCATGCATCTCAAGTACTATGGAGTTAATTTGCTAAAGACAAATATGCCGTTCGCTCTGCAAGGGAAGTTGTACTGTACAAGGGAATTTTCCCTAGTGAGTGCAGTAAAATTTGGCTTTGCAAGGAAAATGCACTCACCTTTAAGGAAAATAGAAAAAAAATGAATTTTTGCCTGCAGATGGTTGGAGGATAGAAGGCAGCAGAACTTCACCTCATTCACTAAGCTCTGTGGAAGATTATCTTAGAAAATGAAACTTCCCTTGAAAAGTGAGTAGCCCATTTGCCTTTAGTAAATCAACTTCTATGTTTTACTTTTTTTATGTTATTAAACTGTTATACTATATGTAGTATAATATTCTGTTTTTTATGCTGGTGCTACTGTTTATGGGGGATTCTATACAGTTAGGAATATATGTACAGCCTGACAAAGCCTTGGTGTGACAACCAATAACTGTTACTTCAAAATGTACCATTCATACTTCTTGCTTGTAGCTTGTAGAGCTAATCTCAAAAATGCACATAACAAGCAAAAAAACCTATTGTTTTCAATAGCCCTTGTTCAATCCGAGTGTCCTGTCACTTGTAGCAAAACACCTGTCACTGAAAAAAAAAAAGTGCATGAGCTACCTTTCAGACAGAATTGACGCCTGAAAAGTGCTCAAGCAGCAGTTCTCTGCTCCTTTTTCATCAGCACTCCACACCGTTCAGTTGAAAAACGCCTGAAAAAATGCAAAAAAGTGCAACTCTGCTCTAAAAAAACTATGCTTGAAAAAATATACTTAGGTGTGATTGTAGCCTCAGGAGTGCATATCAAGCCTGTCTGCTCTATGGTACAGCACAGACATCTAATGCCTATTGTTATCTTTAATAACAGTGAAAACTTCAAACACACTTCCCATCAAAGATGTGAACTGATATTTATTGTTTTCTTTTGCTGTAGAACAGTACATACCTGCCTGTGAACATCTGTGGGTGAAAAGTCTCCAAAACCTTCCCAAATATGGCCATTCTCATCTTCTTCATAAAAACGTATTTGAATGTCATCTACAACAGACAAACAAAATTACTAATGTATCAAGTAAAAAGGGACAATAAAAAGACATCTCATTAACTTTAGAACAATATAAGGCCACATTACTAGGAGTGGCAGTGCATAAGACAGCTGTTGTAGCATTAGTTCACAAGATTATTGAAATGCTGAATTCTAAGGCTTTCCACGCAATTAAAATGTTACCAAACCCATGACCCTGCATTCACTATATCTGGTCTCACACAGTACACACAACATGGAAATGTAACTATTTTAGTAAATAGAAACTGCTAAATACCTATTCTCATGAGCAGTATATAGCAGTCTTGCGACTTCTATCAGTGTGAGGTCGAGCACTGGTTAAAGCTTTTAGGAGGAGTTTTCATTCTTTCCTGAGCGTCCTATGAGGCTGCATGACCCCTGTCTTCTGGACAGTACTGATATGCCCTGTGCTGATCACATACACCCCCCCCCCCCCAAAAAAAAGAAAAAACTCTACACACACCAAAACTGTGAATTCCTCCTGAGGCTCTGTACTATCAGCAGATGGATTTGGGACTGTGGAAGACGGGGAGGATCACAGAAGACTGGATCAAACTGCCTTTTTTACACAATGCTAAGGATTAACCCCTTAGGTTCCACAGTGAGTATAAAAGCATGATTTACTGCATATACAGACTGATTTTACTGTTGTGGGTTTAGTAACACTTAAAAGTATGATCCATCTCTGATATATGTGGTCATTTTAGGATGTTAATCATTAGTAGTTTACTGTATGCACCTCCTGCCATAAAAGTGTTAATGATCATTTCACTGAGAACCTGCATATATTAGCATTAACTGTAAGATATGGAAAATGTTGTTATATTCAAAGCAGCCGTTATGTTGGGCTAGCGTGCATCTATTTATCTAATTTTCTAGATCAGGGACAGTAAACTTAAGAATAAAAATTATGAAAAAAGTTTTCAACAGAACATCTACATTATTTTAGTATCAAATACCTAAGTCAAAGAAGAATAGGTACTATTTAAATCACAAAGTTGCACATACCCTTTTGAACTTTGTCACATAGAAGATAAATCTCTTCACCTCCCGTCACACAGCCAGAGGTCCTGTCCATTCTCACAATTTTCAAATTAGAAGCATTTGGAGCTTCTGCCAAAAATAAGGACCAATAAAACAGGTAAAAAACCACAGATAAAAAATACCCATTCTAATTCATTAAATGAAGGCGATGGCACCAATAAAGTACTATATACAGAACATTAATACACTAAACTGATTTTGTTTTAATACATGTTTAATTCTGGCAATATAAACAGCTCATAATATTTTTTTTTATTTAATCATAGGAATATGTAGATTACTCCTGCTGTAGGGCTATAGTTTACAGTTCTAATAGTAATAAAGTTTGTTTTGCACTGCAGTATGTCAACAACAAAGAAAAAACCATCAGGGAAGCAGGTAACATGAAGAGGAAGAGCTAGAGGTGAAAGTGCTATGGGGACTTAACTTAAATAAAGGAATGCGCTAAAACCACAAACTATTCCTAATTTAGTGTAGAAACATTAGTGCAAAAGATATATATATCTATTCTCAATTAATATCAAAATTATGTGCAAAACTATTTTTTAGTGCATAAGTAATTTAAATAATTAAATCAGTGAATATAAAAATTGTCCAATTTTGAATTTCTTCAAATGTCCAAACAAATCCTTTTCAAATTCAAGTGCTCTCAAAGAAATTGTGCCAAATTTTTTTGGGCACAATTTCTTTGAGAGCACTTGAATTTGAAAAGGATTTGTTTGGACATTTGAAGAAATTCAAAATTGGACAATTTTTATATTCACTGATTTAATTATTTAAATTACTTATGCACTAAAAAATAGTTTTGCACATAATTTTGATATTAATTGAGAATAGATATATATATCTTTTGCACTAATGTTTCTACACTAAATTAGGAATAGTTTGTGGTTTTAGCGCATTCCTTTATTTAAGTTATAGCACTAAGAAATTTATTTGGTTTCTTTGAGGTGGAATTGCTGCTTTAAAGTATTAAGGGTGTGGCGCTTTTATTACACTTGTGCTATGGGGACTTAACCTGGCCAGACATCATACAATTTTCTTGTTCAATTTCCATTAGATTGACCTTCAACTATGTAGTGCAAGGGCCTGCCTGATTGCATACAAACTGAAAGTGTTTAGGTTTTGCCTCTTATTAAATGGTTTTGATACAGTAAATCTAAAGTAAAATTGTACAAGAACATTGTATAATGTATGGCCAGCTTTAAATCATGTCAATGTGGGTATGTTTAGAATAGTAAAATATGTGAGGTCACATAAAAAAGTTGGTAGCTAGGGCCTACAGGTTTGCTCACAGAATGTACTATGGTGTTATATTTGAAGAATATCATGCTTACTGCTATCATAGATAGGGACTGATACAACAGGTTCCAGTCTTCTTGTGAAGCTTCCATTGCTATCAGGTAGGAAAGCAGTGAACATGAGTCGTACCACACTCAGGTCTATGTCTTTCGATTGCTGATAAGCTGCTTGACGAATAATCTCTTTTTCTCGCTCTACAATACAAAAATGACAATTTGTAAATGTACTATACAATCCAAAATAGATTTGTCCATGCAAACTCTGAATCAAAAATAATCTGTGAGGATAGAGAAAAAATGTGTAAACTCACAATGACTTGTTTGGAGAGGTCACTCCTAGTCATTTCAAAATGAAAAGTTGGCAGGTCCATGACTGACTATGTAGTGAAGCCAGGATCAACATGATAGCCCCAAATCCACAAAAGGCAAGCAACGTCAGTTTCCGTATATGTATATTAACAAGTACTCTACAGAAAACCTCTTGTGAATGCTTAGGTATTTGGAGACTAATGACACATTTCAGGACAAGGGATTATGGAACCTCTTTCTTTACAACTGCCATGTAGTACTATTTCTGGCTAAATTCTAGAACACATTTGTTAAATCCTCTGATAGCAGCGTGTTACATAACCACCCAAATTCTTATGGGCAGAAATACCACTTTACCAAACTGCTTTTTGGGGATAGACAAGGGTTACCTGTTTATGATAAAGGAAAAAATTAATTGAAACAGTGTCACTATGCTAGCATACAGTCTACTCAATTTATTTAAACTGAAACTAAATATTTCAATTTGCATTAACTATTTGTAATCTTTATGCTGCTAGCAGTAGTAAATAGATAGGAAAAAATATATTATATTTACTTTTTTAAGCTTTTTTTTTTTCTTTTCTTCAGCTGCATCCTATTTTTTCTGGCCTAGGCCAAAATGATGTCATACATCCCCTGGTAATTTATTTTTCTTTCATCTGGAGGAGGGGAGGAGGAGCCTTCTCAGGTAAGCACACCCTTCTGCCTGCATACCTAGCCTAAGGGCAGATGGATTCCAGGGGGTAAATGCTACATAAATCATCTCCCCATACTCAAGATTGCCATGACTAGAAATGCTGGGGGAGTGTTTTTTTTAAAGCGATTTCCCCACAAAATAAAGCAGGGAGACATAGATGAATGGGTGAGTTTGCTTTGAATATTAAAAATAAATTAAATCACACTTTCAGTTTGTGGTGTTCAGATACAGTTTCTTTTCTGCTTTAAATTTTCATTTTACAACAATTTATCAAATGAAAGTAAGCTTTCAGAGAGCTTCTGAGTAGGACTGCAGACTCGTTGAGGTCAGGGTAAGCAGTAAGTTGGGGACTGTAGGAAAAAGAAGTGGCTTTCTAAAAGGGCCCATTCACATATAAGATATCTGGAATCAGGGGCAGAATCTGTGCAATTCTGAATTGTGACAAAATGCCCACAACAAAAAACCAAATACAAAATCGCTCCTGGCCCAGGAACAAAATTTGATCTGAGTATCTTTTTAGCGACAACCATGCATCAGCCAGCCCGTTCAAGTGAATGGGCTGTCCTATGCACAACATGCATTCCATGTGAGAAAAACAAAATCGCGAGCAGGAAAGCAAGTTTTCGCTATGGGTAGAGTGAACGGGGCCAAAAAGTAGCAATGATGAAGTAATTTTGTTAATAATTTTGCTGCTGTCTGCAAGATTTTGCCAATAGTGGAGACTTTCAATTTTGCTCACTGAGCTACAGTGAAATTTGCCTAAACAAAGAGAACATGGTTTTTCTATTTTTTTTGTATATTTGACTGTTACTTGGTTACTGTAACATTTATTTTTTTCATTTTCACTTTGTTTACATTTTCTGCACAAGAAAAAGTCTAGGTTAGTTGAGATTAACTTCCATAACCCCGCAGGAACCATTTAAATCCTATTATACACTTAACAATAACCTTAATTTTATCTTCCACAATGACTCCGAAGCATCTTTCCAAAATGACATTTTGCAGACAACTATGGATTTTCACAAAAATGTTATAGAAATAGCTCTCAATTTTGCTCATCTGTAGTCTTAGGGTATAATGGAGGCTAGACGGAGCCTAATCTAGAAGAGAGCTAAATACAGGTGGCCTAACATGACAGACTCACTCAATGCTGAGAACTTCTCTGTGAACCATTTGGGGAGCTTTGAAATGTTTTGTAAATAAGGTACATTTGTAACAGGATATTTAAAAAGTGACATATTCTTTTTCAGTTAGTGTAATCCATACTTTAAGTTGCACTGATACTTTTGTATGTGCATTGTGATCAGCACGTAACCCCATGGTACAATACGCTTTGTATGCACTATGGGGTGCACGCTTATTAATTTTAAAGGTGAGCTCTGGGGAACAGAAACAACATGACCGTTTTTAGCACTTTATTCCATACCTTTTCCCTCACTTCTGTAGGCTCCTCCTTCCATGCAACTAGTCCTCTAAAGGCTTCTTTGGCTCTGTGGCTAACAGTTTCAGCTGTGGAGTCATTGTTTACAATGCAGGACCAACAGTCATGTATTGTAAGTAAGTGAGGATAAAATGTGTGTTTTTTTTTTTTTTTTAGCAGAAATATTGTTATTCGTCAATTAAAAAAGCATAATGCTACAAACAATAAAGCACATAAGACAGTGATAAGCATTAAGCAAAAAGCAAGACATCTGAAGATACAGGGATATCTGACAGAGTATTCCACAATGCATAAGAGCTGCGATGGTTACACAGTACTCCATATAGAAGGTGGAAGGCCAACATGTCAATAAAGTCACCATCAGCAGGATGCATACAAGGATCGAGCAGAAGTCAAGCAGGATAGACTCCAACTCAACTGGGTATCATAACAAAGTAAGGTAATCCACACAACCTTCCCTCAAGTTCACAAAAGAGAAAAGACAAGGAGAAAAGGGAGAAGAAAAAAAGAGGAAGAGAAGGAAGGTTGAGAGGAGTGTTTGCACAATGACAGGAAATCGAGTGGGAGGGAACCCAAGGTAAAATGAGTAACAAGGAGGGAATACCTAACTCCATAGAACCATAGGAATAGCATCCAAATAGGAAGGGTAATATTCCAACTGCTATACCCTGGCCATTAGAGGAAATACTAAGGGTTTAGATAGTCAAGGTTATAGTTGCCACGTAGCCATCCTGTATTTTCTCAAAATTTTGAGGGCACTTACAGCCCATTTGGTAAGCTTATAAAGAAGCAATATGGAGTCAATTAGTGATCACCACTGAGTGGTCGTAGGGGGTTCGCCCCAGTTTTTTTATTTTCCCAAAGTTCAGCTTTCAATGGTATCCTAAAGTGTGTATCCGGTCAATAAAAAATGCACCTTATAATCAGAGCTTTGTTGTGCTCTGGAAGAAATAAGTCAGGCACCTTTTTATGGTCCTGTGATGTGCGGATGAGAGCCCACTGAAAATAAATGGGCATGTTCAATGCAAAAAAGCGATGAAAGTGCCAAAAACACATTATTGTGCATACAGAAATGCGTGCATGTATGGATAAGTTGATAGGGGTGTTTGACTAGCTTAATAAATTCTTTAATGGAAGGTACAGTTATTGATGTAATAGCAATAGGCAAGATATTTTGAAAGCAAACATGGAGGTGGCAGACAAATCAAAGGAGAAATATTGGTAAAGTAGGCACAGAAAAGAAAAGATAGACACATTAAGACATACAAAATGTTAGCAGACAAACACCACTCAAGAAAAAGGTCAAGTTTGCTACTTATTCATAAAAACAAATGCATCCATCAACATTAAAAGATAAAAAATAAAGGGAAATCATGATAAATAGAAAAGTACAACCCACCAGTCAGTGGCCTATCCCCCGAATACTGGTAGTTTAACTCAGGATGAACCAAAAGACCAGCGTTGTATCCCTTCTTAAAAGCGTCAATCATACGTGTTTCCAGTATCTCAATCACTTTTTTCTTTGTGACATGAAGAATTCCTAGATTGGGGAACCTGCAAGTTATTCAGCACACAAAAAATTATTATTATATATCATGTTTTGCAGTATGCTACACTTTCAAACCGTATGAGCATGGTTTACTATGGGAGCAGTTTTTCTTTTTCCTCCATTTAAAGATGAAGGAAGTGTATAATTAAAGGCAAAACTTTTTTTTTTTTAATTTTGTCTGTGTGTCCATTAAGGAGATTCACCCTCTCTATTCATCCTGTTTACCATTGTCTACCAGGACTTCCTTCTTTTCTAGGGTAGTTTCTGCCTTTCACCTCAACTAGCATATCTAATCAACAAATCATATGGAGCAAGGTATGATAAATGTCCCCAATATCAAACACCGTAAATATGTGACAGTCTATATGATGGAAATATTGTGAAATATGACTTCAATCCAGTGGGGGTGCTCCCAGTGGTAAGGTAAGAATTACGCACTCACCAGAAGCGTCATTAAATTACGCAGTGTGTATATCAATAGGGATCCCCTTCACAGGTATAGGACTGGACTGGAACACAAGGTGATTCTCCCTCCAGTTAATAGGAATATGAGCCCTCAGAGGATGTGAGTAGATCGAGCTGGCCAGAGGTCCCTTTAAGGGATAGGTGGGTACAGATGCCTGCTTACAGGTGCTTCCCTCTCTGGATAAGGTGGACTGGAAACTGGATCGCAGTAGGGCTCTATAAATAATATAGCTCCTCAGGTTTCTCTCCTCTTTCTCCCTGGGCCACAACCATCAACAAGCAAGCCACCAGCAGACCCAGCTCAGCCAATCACAACAGAAGAAGCAGCTACCCTGCCTCTTCCTACACTAATCGCGTCGTACGTGGGCGGGTCATCTCTTCCATTGGTTCCACACCAAGAAGCCTTCTTGGCAGTTTAACATGAGGTTTAAAGACTTCCTGTGTACCTCAAGGAACTCCAAGAAAATAATTTTACAGTGAGTACAAAAATTCTATATACACTACAAATTGGGTAGATTTTGGCTTTCCTAGAGTTTAAACTGACTAGGTGTTTGAAACAAACAAAAGTTTGCCAGGTAAGAAATTACTGAGTATTATCCCTTACGTGCTTATTTTCAATAAAATCTACAGTGCAAGCGTAGCAAAACAATGTGGTCAAGCTCATCATGTGTAGCAGGGGTACTGAATTAAAATTCACGGGGGTACAATGAGTAAAATTTTCTTCCAGCGGAGGCACGTGTCATGTTGGTTTCTATTACTCAGATCCTTCTCATCACAACCTCCCGTTGACGTCACAGCCCCCACCTCCCCCTCCACTTTTAGGGCCCAAACATCCTGGCCCTTATGGTAAAATGCAGGGCTCAACTGAGTGGGCACCTGTTAGTGTGAGGTCCAGGAACTGGTAAGGCAGTACGCATTTATGTGCATTGCACTTTGACCTCTTTTTGTTTCAAATTTATTGCAATTTCAAAATTACATTTATTTAATTTTTATGCACCGCAGCTCAGTTGCAGTGCATAGAAACAAACTGTACATGGAGCCTTCAGGTGAGCTCCAGTCCACTGCCAAAAAATGCACAGTATGCATTTTGCACTGCACTGCTCAACTCAAGTACTGTTGCAGTGTGAACAGGTCACACAGAAAACAATTGCTTTCTATTGCCCTTGCAGAGACCTGTGTTTTTCTAGTACAGAAAAATACAGATCTCTACACAAGTGTGAACAAGCCCTTACATCAGTGTCCTCAGTCCCCCACAGACCCATCCCATCCCAGACCCCCCCCCAAATGACAGGCCACTTCATCACAGACCATCTCATCACAGACCTCCCTAATCAAAGAACCTTGCACATACAGCCCCCCTATCACAGATCTTGCAATCACAGACCCCTCATCACAGATCTCCCCATCATGGAACCCTCATCACAGATTTCCTCAATCACAGACTCCTCATCACAGATCCTCCCATCACAGATTCCCCCCAATCACAGACCCCTCATCACAGGACCCCCCCAGTCACAGACTTCCCTCATCATAGACCCCCCCCATCACAGACCTCCCCATTACAGAATTCACTCAATCACAGACCCCCCCATCACAGACCCAACCCATCACAGACCCCTGACTGCAGATCCCACCCCCCCATCACAGACTTTCCCATCACAGATCCCCCCAATCATAGACCCCTCATCACAGTACCCCCCCAGTCACAGACTCCCCTCATCATAGACCCCCCCATCACAGACCTCCCCATTACAGAATTAACCCAATCACAGACCCCCCCATCACAGACCCACCCCATCACAGACCCCTCACTGCAGATCCCACCACCCCATCACAGACCCTCCCATCACAGACCCCCCCAATCACAGATCCCCCCATCACAGACTCCACATCGCAGACCCCCCCATCGCAGACCCCACCCCTCATCACGGACCCCCCTCATCACAGACCCCCTCCTTAACAACCCCCCATCACAGACCACCAAATCGCAGTCCTCCCTCCATATTACAGACTTCTGTCCCTTTCATAATATCACAGCACTCCCCCCTCCCCACACTGTCCCACTTTATTTACACAAGACCGGAAGCACATCAGGTCTGGACAAAGGGGTGGGACATTTCATGTTAAAGGTGGGTGAATGATTGCTTGGATTGCCCTACTGCATAGAAACCAATCACCTTTTTCTTAACTTGAAAATTCCAGCCCTCTGTGTAGACCTACCAGGCTTTCCTTCTTGTGTAGGTAGGACGGTATGGGGAGGGGGGAGGAAAGGGGGGAGTGCTGCGATGTTATGAAAGGGGCAGACCTGCCGCGCCTTCCATGTTGTGCTCTTCCTTGAGGATGATAGCAGCGGGCAGGCGAGCCAGCAGTGGGGAAAGGACACTCAGACAACTATTTGAGGAGGCTGCAGTCCGGATAGGGCTGTCATTGGGTCCGGATCCGTATTGATGGCTGCCATTTAGTGATGTCTGATGTATAGTATTGACAAAAAGCTTAAAACTGAACACTAGGCAAACAATGACATACACAAGTTTTACCTACCAAAGAATTTATATTTCTATCCATCCAGTACAAAGATTTACACAGCTCTGTACACAGCACAGCGCTGTCTGCCAAGGCAGAAGACCTGATTTTTTTTTTTTGCTGCAGTTAAATCATTTTTACAAATTAGAAAAGGACAGGACAGGAGAGGTAGCACATAGATCAGCTCATGCCAGGGAACCAGGCACATAATAGGTATCCTGTAAATAAACAATAATAAACTGTATAACACATTGACTAACTTCTGTTCGGTGTCCCCAAATAAACAATAATAATCTGAGGTGCTGCTAATTTTCTGTTGCCAGCTTTGAACAGCACTATTAGTTCACAGTCACAGCATAGGTGGCACTTATTAGTTAAAGAGGATTAAATCTGCATAATAGGCTAAAAACAAGTACAATTATTTATTTACTTTTTTTTGCTGTAAATCTGTTTTTTTCAGAGAGAATTGGACAAAAACACACATATTTTTACTTTGCAGTGCTTAACCAGTGAACAAAAATTATCATTACTTCCTGTACTAAAAATTTCTGTATTACAAATGCACCTTATGTACTGAAAGTATGGTTTCACACAAAGGGCATCAAAGACAAACACTGGTAGAAAGTAAAAGTGGATTTTGCATCTGCATTCAATCACCCTATAACCTTTACAGCTATATATATACAGTTGCAAGAAAAAGTATGTGAACCCCTTGGGATTCCGTGGAGTTTTGCATGAATTGGGCATAAAATGTGCTCTGAACGTCATCTAAGTCACAACAATAGAAGAACACAGTCTGCTAAACATAATACTACACAAAGATTAGATGTTGCCATGGTTTAATTGTACATAACATGTAAACATTCACAGTGCAGGGAGGAAAAAGTATGTGAACCTTTGGACTTAATAACTGGTTGACCCTCCTTTGGCAGCAATAACCTCAACCAAACGTTTCCTGTAGTTGCAGATCAGACCTGCACAACGATCTGGAGTCATTTTGGACCACTCCTCTTCACAAAACTGTTTCAGTGTAGCAATATTCTTGGGATGTCTGGTGTGAATCGCTCTCTTAAGGTCATGCCACAGCATTTCAATTGGGGTTGAGGTCAGGACTCTGACTGGGCCACTCCAGAAGGCGTATTCTGTGCTGTTGCAGCCATTGTTTTGTTGAATGACTTGTATGCTTTGGGTCATTGTCCTGTTGCATCATCCATCCTCTGCGGAGCTTCAGTTGGAGGACAGATAGTCGTAAGTTTTCCTGCAAAATGGCTTGATAAACTCTGAAATTCATTTTCCCATCAATGATAACAATCCGTCCAGGCCCTGAGGCAGCAAAGCAGCCCCAAACCATGATGCTCCCTCCGCCATGTTTCATTCAGTGGGGATGAGGTTTTGATGTTGGTGTGCTGTGCCTTTTTTTCTCCACACATAGTGTTGTGTGTTCTTCCCAAACAACTCAATCTTGGTTTCATCTGTCCACAGTATATTTTGCCAGTAGTGCTGTGGAACATCCAGGTGCCCTTTTGCAAACTTCAAACGTGCTGCAATCTTCTTTTTGGACAGCAATGGCTTCCTCCGTGGTGTCCTCCCATGTACTCCATTCTTGTTTAATGTTTTCCTTATTGTAGATGTGTCAACAAAAATGTTAGCATGTGCCAGAGATTTCTGTAGGTCTTTAGCTGACACTCTGGGATTCTTCTTTACCTCATGCAGCATTCTGCGCTGTGCTCTTGCAGTCATTTTTACAGGACGACCATGCCTAGGGAGAGTAGCAACAGTGCTAAACTTTCTCCATTTGTAGACAGTCTGTCTTACCGTGGACACATGAACATCAAGGCTTTTGGAGATACTTTTGTAACCCTTTCCAGCTTCATGCAAGTCAACAATTCTTGATCGTAGGTCTTCTGAGAGCTCTTTTCTGCGAGGCATGGTTCACATCAGACAGTGCTTCTTGAAACCAGTAAACCCAAAACAGGTGTGTGTTTTTTAAGGGCAGGACAGCTGTCAGCAACACATCC